ATCTGCATTTCATCATGTCATTACAGGCTAAAACTCACAGGATGGAAAACCTTTAGGTCTCTCAGGAAGAGCTATTGCTCAAATGCAGCAAATAAAACATTTTCTTTGCTTGACCTTCCTGACATGGAAATGGTATAAACTTCCAGTTCCCTAGATATTCCAGTCCAGACATGTTTATCAAAGGGCTATATATTGACATAGTCTGTAGCTAGAGAGAATAAAAATGATTTTTTTTTCTTACAAAGTTACCCATTCTTGTTGTAGTTTAAAGATTACATGTGGTAGAGTGCCTCATTGGAGTATCATGCCCTCTTCTGGCAGGATGCATGATGTCTGTGTCTGTTGACCTCTTTTCTTCTCGGAGGCAGTAAGTCAGCTGCCTTCTAAGTAATGTTATCAAGCTTTGTTCACAGAAACCATTACGTTACACATGTTTGAGACTGTGTTGTGTCCAAGCAGGATCCAGAGGAATTCTGTGCTGGTTACAAAGTAGCAACTCAAGCTTTGAACATCTCAGAAAATGTAGAATATTTCTCAACAGAATAGAGCAATGGAATAGAATAAAAATATAATTTAGTTTATAATGTGTGTAGGATCATGCAAAAGAGCAAAAAGTGTTAGATATATCAATAACAAGATTAAGAATGATATGTGGTACAAGATTGTCAAATCAGAAAAGAAGTTTATCAGAAAAGAAAATAGTGTATGCTGATCCAAAGGATGTTCAATTTAGTAGGAAAACCTTTTTATTTTAAAAAGTACATATTATGAACATCAAGAAGAAAAATTATTTATATAATGCTGTTTTATCATGTAAACAGCATATTTTATGTTATCTGTCGAGAAGAATAGAGGAAAGGAAGAAGGATAAAGAGAATTGGAGAAAACACCCCGGACGTCTGCCTCTACATCTGCAGAAAGGGACAGGGGAAAAAAAGAGAACTATGAGCCCACACTGAGAAGCACACAGTACTAATTAACACAAGCCATGTTGCAATGACTTCCTGAAGGCGGAGTTTCAGAAAAAGTGGGAGCCCCTTAAAGAGACAGAGGCCTAAATTAAAGTTTTCAAAATTACAAGGTTAAATTTATTTGAAGTCATATTTGATATATACACAATTTTTATAGCAACTGAAGTTAATAATTTGTTGTGCTAGGATATTGCACTACATGCCTGGAAAATAAATAATACTGCCACTTTAAGAAAAAGGGGGAAAAAGAAAGAGAGATACCACTTGCACCCATAACTCCAGTGGTTCTGCAGTGACTCACAGCACTAAAATACAAACACGCATTTAATAACACTGCAATGCCCAGATAAAATTGTTTCTGTCCTGTTTAAGCTGAAGCAGACAAGGTGTACAAAATCTGTCTCACCTCAGAATCATTTTATTTTCCTTGGGGGGGAACAAAAATCATAACCCTTTAGGGTTTTTTTCTGCTGTTTCTTTCAGTGCAGCAGCTAGGCATTTGGAGGCCATACTCAGCCAGCTCTCTTAGCACCAATCTCTCTCTGCTCATTCATCATGTGGAAATTGAATTGTTCTCAACGCCAAGACGCCGCAGTGTACAATCAGCCATTATTTTTCGGCCCAACAGCTGGACGGTGCTGTAGCAAATTGCTGGAGACCGCCCTGCAATAAGGCCTTTGATTTATCACCTCCAGTGAACCTGCTGGCTGAGAGGCCAGTCAGCCTCAGGAGGTGCTACTATTTCAGCACTTTCAGAGGCCCGTCCTTTGGGTTTATAGAGGGTGAGATGGGTGACTGGTTCCTTTTGGGGTGTTTTCCCATAACGTAGTAGATTATGGTATCTGTCAAAGAGGTTTTTAACACCTGGTAGGAAACAAATTACGTCTTTTTACATCTCCGTGGAGGAATGTTGGCCCATTTTTCTTTAGTTTTTTGAGCATGAATTGCAGGTCTTCAGTCATGTCACAGTATTTCAGTCTAATTTAAGCCCAGACTTTAACTAACCCACTCCAGAACCTTCACTTTGTTTGTTTTTAGCTATTCAGAGATGGACCTTTTGGTTTTCTATAGATCATTGTCCTCCTCCATCATATAAGTGCGTTTGAGTTTAATGCCACAAACCGGACAATGGACTTCAGGATTTTTTGGTACACAACAAAATTCACGGTTCTTTCAATTACTGCAAATGACCTTTGACCTGAACCTGAAATGTCCTCAAGCCATCAAAAGACCACCATTGTGTTTCACAATAATTACTTTTTGTTTGTTTGTTTGTTTGTTTTTTAGTTCTGTGTTTATTTCTTTACATATTTTCACTTTAGCCTCGTCATGACTATGATGATCAACTTTGGTTGATCATCTAAAAACTGTTTTTCAAAGTGTGGGCCGCCAGGGGGTGCTGTGTTGACCTCAGAAAGTTAGAGGAAAGATCAGAAAAAAGAGATGCAAAAATAAAATAAATTTCATCTCCAAATGTTTTTTATCTTAAAATTTTCATCGTAATTTTGTTGTTTTTCAGTTACGTTCACAAAAATAGAAGTTAAAATAATTGATTCAAATATTATATCTGATTCTTATTTTCTGATTGTCAAATTCATAAGAACTGCTTTGTTCCTCAAGCAATAGAAAAGTTTCTGACAAAAAAAATACCAAAGGAACCGTCCAGCAGCCCTGCTCTGGAGAAAAATAGCACTAAGAACCATGGGAATTAAATTGAATTTGATACAGATGTAGACAATATTACATATTTTCTTATAATAAGAAGAGGGGATTGTAATACAAAAATTGCATTATCTGGTACAAGTCATATCACATTATCTGATAATAAAAAAATGTTCATGGCAATCTAAAATCACAAGGTATAAGGTAGAATTTATGGTAAATGAATGTATTAATTATTGAATAGTGAATTAAAACAAATATTCTGAAAGTTGTTTCTTTACATATTTTGTAGCTTTGTCTGTGGGCTTGCAAAGAGGGTTCCTACTCAGAGGTTAATGCTGCTCTGCAAGGAGAAGTTTAGGAAAAATGTAATCTAAAACATTTAAGTGTGACCAAAAAAAAGCAGAAGAAATCAATAACAGGAAACTTCTTTCTCCCAGCACTGTGGGTAGATGCAGCGGCTTAGTGCCATTGTTACTCTCCATTTCTATGCCTCAACCTTTCTGTGCTCTTCATTTCCTGCATTAGACACAAATGTTTATGCTTGTCAGCCTCTTTTATAGCATGTCAAGTAGTATCTTCTTTTTTTTTCTTTCTTTTTTAAAATTTTTTTACAGTGAACATTGCATCTTCCTTGCATGTAAAATAGTTGTCTGTTTAGAGACCTGAATCTAGCAAGGTTGGTTTTTGCAGAGGTGGCACTTTTTAAATGTCGTACTTTAAGGCTGAATGTGTACCAACAATGTATCAAAGGTTTTTCACGATTAAAGATTTCTCTGAATACAGTTTGTAGCAATGTTTCCTTCCTCCGCCAGCCTGAATGGAGCTTCATGGTTGGATACTTTGAGAGGAAACGTGGCCAGAAAACATCCAGACACTGTGGTGGCCGTCCCAGGGAAAGAAACATGACATCTTTGAATGTAGCTAAGCTGTGTAAATCTTGTTAGAACAAGTAACAGTGTTTCTTGGAAATGGTGGAGACATTAATGGCTATATTTAGTTCATAAGTTCAATAAAAAAAACAATATAAAAAATAAAATGTAAAACTAACATCCAGCTGCATGCAGGGTACCAATACATTTACATTTTAATCAAATGCTGGTAGCTATTTTTGTTTAATTTTTATTCATAGGGGCAATTAGTTTTTGCAAAATATCTGCAGTAAGGGGCAACATTATGTCTTTCCCAGGCCCACAGTGCCATTTCGTTGCATAATCAAGAAACTGTTACCTTCACTTATCATAAAAATGATGTATACATGAAATATGACTTAAAAAGAAATTTGACTTTGGGCATCTGTGACTGTCTCTTTAAGAAAGAAAGTCCTGCTCTTTCTGTAACTTACAATAGTAATAAAGGTGAATTTGTATTTTAGCACTGTGAGTCGTTGCAGAACCACTGGAGTTACAGGTGCAAGTCTTTTGTGGTATCTCTTTCTTTTTCCATTTTTTTAAAGTGTCAGTATTATATATTTTCCAGGTATATTGTCATTTTATATCACAACTCTAACTCTGTTTCCCTTCAGTTGTTATGAAAATGCTGTACATATCAAACATGACTTAAAAGAAATTTGACCTTGTAATTTTAAAACATCTTGAAATTGAGCCTCTGACTCTTTAAGAAGCTCCTGCTTTTTCTGAAACTCCGCCTTCAGGAAGTCATCACAACGTGGCGCCTCTATTAACCCTTTTAACAATGTTTTTACCAATGTTGAACTGAGAATTAGCTAGTATAATGAGCTCAGTTGATGCTCAGTTCCACCAGGTGTTTGCCAATTGCTGCTGGCTAGTCTGAAGGAGCTGAGTGAGGGAGCCGCATGTTAGGCAGAAGCTTGGCTTGGAGACTACAGATTTGTGGGAAAAGGCGGTGCTAGGTGAGACCAAACGTTTCTGCACCCAAACTGGCTACCAGGGAAGATTAAAGGATTTCGCAAACATGCATGAAAGAATAAAACAACACTAAGTGTGTTTTTGATGAGTGAATAACATTATAACACGATGTAAAGCTCAAAGAAGTCGATTTCACATCATACTATCCTTTTAATTTTTCTTTTTTTTATTTTATTATTAGTAGAAGTAGTATACCAAATTCCACAAACTTGGTATATTACAGATAGACTTTTTAGCTTTTTTTTTTATTAGATAAAATGTTCCCAACCGAAGCAATTTACACACACACACACACACACACACGAAAACTTTATTACACATTTGACAGGAACAATTCAGTTTTTTCAGTCTTCCTGTTGGCTGTGTAAACTAAATTATACCGCGTGGCAAAGAGGAGGAAAAAAAAGGCTGGGTCGAGGAGGGGCCACCGGGTCAGATTTCCACAAGAGTGCGACCCCAAGCCCACTCACAACCATCCCATTATGCTTAAACTGCGCGCAGTCGCTGATCTGTAAGCAAACCGTCAGCTCGCGGCCTTTGCCTGTGACCCATCCATGTGTCTTGCAGATCCGTGCTGTAGCTACGGAAAGTCCAAGCCCTCCCTACTCTCCGAGCATCCTTCCAAACAGGCAGGGGGGAAAAAAGAAAAAAAAAGAAGCCAAACACGCAAAAGTTTTCCTGTCCCCAAAGCAGGACTCGACATGGATAAAAAGGAGAGGTTTTCGTGACCGAAGCAAACAACTTGGGTTAACTTTTTTGTCCTTCGCTAAAAGAATGATAACATAGTCTCCGGTTTTTGGTGGTGTTTTTGTGTGTGAAGACGCGAAAACGGTAACAGTGGAAAAGTTAGAGGCAGCGTCAGGCTATGGCGCGAGACGGCGAAGACACCGGGATGGCCAAGGCTTCAAAAGCCAAACGGCAACGAAAGAAAAAGCCAAAGGAGAACAAAACCAGGACTGTTCACGCCAACATCCATTATGACAACGCAAAGGGAGAGGAAAACCCCAACAGACACTATGCTAGCAACAAAATCAAGACCACCAAGTACACCGTGCTGTCATTCCTGCCCAAGAACCTCTTCGAGCAGTTCCATCGCTTTGCTAATGTTTACTTCGTCTTTATCGCTTTGCTCAATTTTGTCCCGGTTGTCAACGCCTTCCAACCCGAACTTGCTCTGGCTCCGGTGGTTTTCATCCTGTCCGTCACTGCCATTAAGGACCTGTGGGAGGACTACAGGAGACACAGGTCGGATAAAGAAATCAATCACATGGACTGCCTGGTCTACAGCAGGTAAGCCCGGCCTGGAGTCCAGCTGGCAGCCAGCAGCAGCGGTGTCCACCTGGCTCCTCAACCTGGACACTTGCTTCATTTTTTCCCCCTCTTTATTTCAGTCGTACAAGCTGTTCTGCTCTAATGCATCTGGTCCTCTCACATCAACTGATGACGGAAACTTGGGGAAGGAAAAAACAAAACAAAACGATAGTCTTTAAGATAGTTGCTAACTAGTCATGTCCATTCAGCTTTTTTTCCTGCTTCCTCACTGTAAAAACACCAAATCCTACCAAGTAATTTTAGTATCGTTTCTAGCGGAAATATCTTAATACTATTGAATTTAGGCAAAACTAACCTACGAGTATCTTTTCAATAAGATACAAGAGCTTGTTTTAAGTAAATAAATCCTTAATATTGATGAAAAGGTACTAGTTCCATTGGCAGATAAATTTACTTAAGACAATCAAACTATCTGCCAATGGAACTAGTACTTTATCAATATCAATAACTTTTTTACTTTCAACAAGCTTCTAAGTGTTGCTGATAAGTTAGTTGTGTTTTAATTCAAGTGTACTAAGATATTTGCACTAGAAACTAGACAAAAATACTTGATTGTGTGTTTACTACCAAAGCGGTCTTGTGTACTTCAGTAGGATTGTAAGTAATTTACCAAATTAAAGTAGAGCATAGTAGTGAAGAGGACGGAAAATGGTAGGTGGGTTTTCCCAAAATAAATGCGTGGAGTCAACTCAAGCTCAGTCAGATTTAAAACTTGTGAACATCAGATTTCAAGTTGTGCCACAAATTCTCTGTTGAATCTGAACCATTCACTTTTAACTGAATGGTGCTGGAAGAATATTTATATCAGATTTAAACGTTTTTGGCTCCGTATAAGACAGGGGTGTCCAAACTTTTAGTGGCATGTCAAAAGGATTTTGAGGACCAAAAATGTTCTTCTACATAATCGACTGCAATAAAGTAAGCATGCAATACTTTTAAACAACGTACATTTGCTGTTGGAAGGGATGTAGAAATAATTTTAGGTAATGTGGTTTAACAGCTTTTACCTAGTCATTTTTTTTATTATTATTTCTTGGTATTAGTACCAACAACATTCAGTCGTTTCTGACCAGTTAAATCAGGATTTATGTGGTTTCTTTAAAATGTTTTAGCTGAGTTTAATAAATGAATTAAAAGCAGATTTGGATGCAACAAAGCCAACTTTTGATTTAAAAGTTGACATTGTTGCATCCAAAGTGTTCCCTGTAAGAGAATGCAAAACGCCAGATTATTTAAAGACAAATCATTTGTGTTGTTTTCAACATTTTCTATTATCCAGAATATTTTACTTTGACTGTGACAATTATGTCCTAATCAATAAAAGCAATAAGTTGCTTTTATTGATTTAGTCGCTTTTATTGATTGATTTTAATTGATTAAACAAACTCTTAGTTTTTGAAAATGTGATTTAAAAAAAAAAATCGTATTAGATTTTTTTTTTCTTCACTATTTCACTCCTTGGGTTTTCACAGTTCATAGTGATGTCAGCACACCTAAGGCTGCCATCTTGTTTGAAAAGTATTTTAAAGCTTCTCTGTATTTGGACATCAAATTCAGGTCAACTCTATGCTGGAGTATTAGGGCCACACTAAGATTTTTTTTTTAAATTAATTAATTCTAAGAACAAATTCATAATATTTTAAGGATACAGTCCTATGACCATCGAGTTGACGTAATGTGACCAGAATAAAGTTGTAATTTTCTGAAAACTTGACATGTCATGAACAACATGAAAAATATAATCAAAATTATCACATCAGTTTCTGATCATTATTTTCACAATTTTCTTGTAAAATTGTCTCTTTTTTGCTAGTGAATATATTCTTGTAATTAAACAGAATTTCTGGCCCTGATACGCCAATCTCACAGAAGGGATGATGGAAATAAAAGCCACTTTTTTTTTTTTTTTTTTTTTTTCTTAAAGAAAATTGGACATGGCATAAAAACAATCTGAGATTGTATTTTGAAGTCCAGCTCTGGTGTGTGCCATGTCGTTTTTGGATGATTGATCTCTGTATGTTCAGAGTTTATCCCTGACCCGTCTGATGCTGTTTGCTCACTGATTTTTTTTTTATAACAAATCTCCAAAACCTTCAAAGAAAAGCCAAATTTACTCTGAGATTAAATTACAAACTGGTTAGCTGATCAGTTTAGGTTTGAGATTTCTGTCTGTTTAAAAAAAAAAATTAAATCACGTCTTATGCTCATTCTAACAAGTTTGCACCATCTTGTGCTGGTCTATTCATCACATAATATTCTTATCAAATACATTGATGTTTGTGGGATTTAAGGTAATCAACTGGGGGAAAAAAGAAAAAAATCAGTACTTTCCATGGCATGGTATAATGCAGGCTGGCCTTTATGTGCGTCACCTGAATCGTCACTTCCAGATCCGACTCTTCCGACTTCGGGGCTAAAGCTCAGACATAATAAAGTTCTCCCCAGATGTCCGTCAAAGAAATATAAAAGATTGTTTCTGCTGATACTGCAGCATTTGCTTTTGGTTCCGACTCTATTAAGTCTGAATGGCTTTCCAACCTGATGGCCCGTTTCTGACCAGTTTCCTGAGTATGTGTGCCCAGACTGTACTTCCCTAATGAAAAGCAGCACTGTCGTCCTCCCCCTACAGTGCATAATTCACAGCCGTCAAAAGCGCCTCAGTGCTTGGGGGCTCTAAAGTGTTCGCACACAGACTTGACCTGCGTTGTTGTTAAGTTTGGAGATAATTGGATTGTCTTTTGTGGCGGCAGCAGTGTTATGCTAAACATCCCGTCCTATGGAGTTGCTGACCTGACTGAACTCATACGGTACCCTGCACACCTCTGCTCATGCATAAACACGACGGACTACCAATCAGCGTTCATACGTTGGATATTCTGTAATGCAGCTAAATTAATTTTAATTAATCTAATGCAGTTGGACATTAATTTTTTAAGGAATCTGAATATTAGGTTTAAAGTTTTGAACTATATTGTTTTGCGGCTGCTTAATGTGAAACCAGAAGTTTTACACACACCGATTGAAAAAGACGCATATTTTTTTTCCCCCCCCCCCCCGCTGTCTGCAGTTAAATTAGACCAAACTTCTCATGTTTTCTGTCGCTTAGGATAACCAAAATTATTTCTTTTTGCTAAATGCCTAAAGATTGGCACATTTTCCAAAGATTTCTTGTTGTAACTTTCTTCAAATTCAGAACTTTACATACATTTGGTCAGTATCAGGGATAATTGTCCTTTATATCACTTTGTATCACTTGGGTCAAACCTTTTGGGTTTCCTTCCAGAAGCTTCTCCCAATGGATTGCTGGAGTTCTGGTCCATTCCCCCTGACAGAGCTGGTGGAACTGAGTCAGGTTTATAGCCCATCTCACTTTCAGATCTATCTATAACTTCTCCATAGCAACCTACCGAAAAGTTAAAACATTGACTTTGCTGTCATTATAAGTGACTTTATAACCTGTGGCTGGATGCTGAGGATCATCATCCCTTTGGAATAATCATTTGAGCAAAGTGTTTAATTTCTGGCTTTCCACCTTATTGTCTTTACTCATGAGCATTATGTATCTATTTTATGAAGTGCACCAGTTCCTCCTGCTGCAAAATAGCCCCACAAAGTGATGCTGCTACCACCATACTTCACAGTTAGGATGGTACAAGCATCCTGGTTTTTCCTCCAAATGTAATGATGGTCATTATGGCCAAGCAATTCCACTTTAGTTTCTTCAGACCACAGGACATGTCTCCAAAAATGAAAGTCTTTGTCCCGGTGTGCATTTGCAAACTGCAGTCTGGCCTTTTATGTTTCTTTTGGAGTGGCTACTTCTTCCTCACCGAGCGGCCTTTCAGCCCATGTCAGTCCACAGTTTCACCGTGGGTAATCACACTCTCACCAGCTTCAGCCAGTATACACAAGGTCTTGTTTTTGGCTCAATCTGCATTTTGGACCACAATTCATTCACCTCTGGGACAAAGAACCTATCTAATTTCTGAGCGGTATAATCGTTGGACATTCCCATCAGGTCTATACATGCATATAATTGTTCGAACAGAAGAACGCCGGGCCTTCAAACATCGCTACATTGTTCCCAAGGATGAACCAGACGTCTGAAGGAAATTAAACTCCATATCTATTCAAATTTTGCAGTGTTATAAAAATGGCCAGTTGTCATTTTTCTGGCAGGTAAACATGATCTATAAGACATGGAGAAAATTTAATCAAATGAAAAACCTCCAGTACTTAAACTTTTTGAAGACCTTAACGTCGAAGGCCAATCGCATGAACAAATCCCAACCTCCCAGTTTGGGCAAATCAGCAGTTGCAGCTTGCTTTCTTAGAAGTAGCACAATGTCTGTGTGAAGTCGCACACACCTGAGTGTATGTTGTTCCGGCAGAGAGGCCAAACGCTACGTGGAGAAGTACTGGAAAGAGTTGCGAGTCGGGGACTTTATCCGGCTGCGATGTAACGAGATTCTCCCCGCCGACATCCTGCTGCTGACCTCCAGCGACCCGGATCACCTGTGCCACATCGAGACCGCCACGCTGGACGGAGAGACCAACCTGAAGCAGAGGCAGATCGTCCGCAGCTTCTTTGACCTGGTGAGACCGAAACGAATGTTGTTCTCAACCTCGTTTCATCATGTGCTTGGTGCTGCGTTTTGCTGCGATTCCTTTTGTTTTCAAGTTTAGTTTCAGGTTTTATAACTGACAAAAATTTGATCACAAATTGCAGGAAGAAGCAATCACTGCTCACTCTCACTACTCACTCCTATCAGTGAGCAGTGGCCTAAACTGTAATTGAAATGCTTCTGAAAATCTTTACAATGTACAAAAGGCGGTTGTGATGGAAACTCAGGCGAAGAATCTCAGTTATGGCTAAAAAAAATAAAATAGTTTTCTCCGGTTGACGTTCCTGAGATTTTTTTCAAAACCCACCTGACAAATAAAAAGGAGATAATTTTCAGCTTTTAAGAACAATCAGAATTGAAAAAAGGGCAAAAATATTAACTAAATAAATACAGGTTAAGGCAAATAATAAAGTGTATGACTTGATCAAATGTTTTCTTTATTTTGGGTATCCTTCCATAAGTTTCACATAAGTGTGGAGGCAGAATTAACCAGCTCCCTCTGTGAGGAACTTTACAAAATGGAAGATTCGTCTAAAGAGTTGTTAGTCTCTTTATTCTCCTTTCCAGATTCCTACAGAGGTATATTATTTTAAAAACCTTAAAAAAGGCTAATAACTTTCCCAGATCTTTTTTTGAACAGAGGCATTTTGCTGCCCACACTACCACACTCAGTGGTGTCGAACTCAAGTGCAAGAACAAAATCAGACAAAAGTCCGATTTTTATACTCTGATATGAAGCCAATGTACCTATTATATGAATATAATGCATAAATTACACCTTTCCCCTGAGAATAGTCGGCTTTTTCACATACTTCTTTTTAACTCTGTCTATAAATTTCAATGGGCTTTGTAATGGCCATTCCAAAAAACTTGTTTACCTTAACTAATTTGTCTGCTTAGGTTTAGGTTTGGAAGACCCATTTGTGTCCAACCTTCAACTTTCTGGCTGAAGTCTTGAGATGTTGCATCAATATTTCCACAAAATGTTCTTTTCTCATGATATTTTGTAAAAACAATTTCCCCCTGCAAAAAGATATGCTCTCTGTCTTGGGTCATCTGAAAGTAGGAGTGTGAATAGAGCAAATATTACACACATCTTAGCATCCATGACCAAAGTGAAGTGGAGGCTCCATATGTTTTCTCACTGGGTGTTTTTGTCTTCACAGGACTGTGATTTTGACCCGTTAAAGTTCAGCAGCATAATTGAATGTGAAAAGCCCAACAATGACCTGAACCGATTTCGAGGCTACATGTGAGTATTACTTTTTTTTTTTTATCTTAATCATTTTTAGAACTTGTTCTTGATTTTCAATTGCTCTTGTACCTCATCGCGGTTCTATTCATTTCTATGTCCAAGTGAAGCAATTCTCAGAAAATAATCAACATAACTCAGACCCAAGAAAAAAGTACTGATGAGACCTCCAGTTTCTTTGAAGATCTTTTATTATTATTCGTCTTGGAGGTGGTGGAAGATGTAATTTGTCTTTGAGGAAGAAGGTTAGAGACCTAACAAACTGGCACCAAACCCAGGGATTTAAAAGGTTACCATAATATTCTTTCTGTTTCTCACCAGTATTGTTACTCCAAAGCTCGTGGGTGTGGCAGAACTTTGCTTACTTTACTTAAAGTATGGCAGAACTTTACTTACTTAAAGTATGGCAGAACTTTACTTACTTAAAGTGTGGCAGAACTTTACTTAAAAGTTCTGCCACACACCCTTAAAAATAACAGTCCCAGGTTGTTTATGTTAGCAATCCAAGCAACTGTGTATGGAAGTAGCTGAAAATCCCACATTTCAACACAATCGAGTGTTTTACTTGTGACGACAAACCAGGACTACAGGAAGGTAACCATCATTTTGAGCACTCAGAGTCCCTCAGGGGGGTTTCTCCTCTTATCTCCTTCCATATTAATTATTTTGTACTTCAGTTTTTGCAACGGAAGAACCAAAAGTTGTTCTGCTTTTGAACAACTGCTTACTTTCACATATCTCTGATGACGGCTTTGCGATATTAATTTATTCAACTTGTTGCGCTTTGTGCCACCTGCGATGTCTAAACTGATGTTTTTTACATCATGTTGCAATTTTATCCCCTCACCAAAAACATACCTGGAGTATTGGATATTTGAGAAATCCTTTAATTTCCATTGCAACCATTCAGCTGTGCAAAACGCCCGGGTGTTTCTTAGAGCCGCCTTTGAGGACAAAGCGCCTCCGGATAGTTGTAGTTTAGCTTCCTAGCTTCCACCTCACAGAACACCCGTCCCCTGCAATGCCTCCACTGAGCTCCTTCAGACTAGCCAGCAGCAATTAGCAAATATCTGCTGAGCTCATGATACAAGCTATCAGTGCAACGCTGGTAAAATATTGATTGTTAAAGAGTTAATAGAGGAGCCATGTTGTGATCACGTCTTGAAGGTGGAGATTCAAAAAGAGCAAGAGTTTTTAAAGGGACAGAGACCCAGTTTCAAGGTGTTAAATTATGAAGTATATGTGTATATATATATATATATATATATATATATATATATATATATATATATATATATATATAATGAGTTATGGCTTATTTTTGCAGATTTGTTAACCAGTCTTCTGTACTGTTTTTTGTTTGTTTGTTTTTTTCCATATGTACAACCTTGTTGGCGGTCCCACTCTGCTGTTAAATTTGCTGCGTCATTATCCATACAGTGCATGGTCACGGTGTTTTCATCTGAAAGAATAACGTGTCTTCTTCAAAAAACACTCAAAGGCACATTGTGATTTATTTGTGTCATGCATTCAATTTTAGTTGTATTTTTTCTGGCACTAAGTTCTAACACTTTTTTTTCCAGTGTCTGAATGCCAAGTCTTTGACTTGTTTGCTTTTATTAAATTGTTACATTTTCTCTGTAAATGATCTTAGATGATGGTTTGTAGACAAGTCAAGAGTTTCAAAGTTAAACTTGGGTTGCGCTCAAAACAAAAACAGAATATCTAAGCAAAAGATATAGTCAGCCTTGTTTGGATGCGAGGTTTGTGCAATTACAAGGTATGTAACAAAAACATACATGCCTTGATTATGAGCAGCTGTGTGTCCTCAAGCTTCTTGAAGGGTCAAGTTCAAGTTGTGTATCCAGTTTCAGTATTTGTACTGGAAATGATTAGGGTTGTTCTCCTAAGGTTTGCTTGCTACAATAAAAGTAAATTGAGATTTTTAACTTTTCTTTGCTTAGTTAATGACTGGTTTGGATGTTCAGCTGTAATTCAGTCAGTATAGATCATTTACTAAATGATGCTGTTTTTATTTTTTATTTATTTATTTTTGGACAAATTCCCTTTGGTTTTGGATGCTGCGGAGCTAACACTTGCAGCTCTGATATTAATATATAGATAGATAGCAGTTGCCCTTTCCCAGTTTCCAAACATATTTCTGCCTGTTTCATTATTACACTCCGCCTCTGACGATCTCTCACTTCCTGTGTACGTTTTTATGCGAGAACGACTTGACCGGGGTTAAACCAGTGGGTCTCTTGTGATTCCAATCTGTTGAGTACAGCAATGATCCCAAATGCGTGAATCTTAAAACTGTAATATCCCAAGAGTTGGTGATTGGACAGTTGACGGATAACTCTGATCAAACTTTCATCAGCCACCTAGATGTTAGTTGCCCCTCCACATGTTTACATGTTTCCTGTAAAAACAGAAGTTGTTGATGGGTCCCCTCCCTCAAAAGAGCCCGTTGGCTCTGATTGGTCTGCTTTAGTTTAGTTCGACCCCATCAGGTTAGGTCAGCCCTGTTGAAATCCAAACATGAAATGATGAGTCTTTGTTTCCTTTCTTAGGTGAGTGGTGCACATTCGTTGTGAAACCAGCCCTTTTTTTTTTTCTTTTGTTCATTAGAATTTAAAGTTTATTGATCTTTCAGAATGTGCATTTTTACCATCATATTACTTCAAAATGGACTCAAAACAACAATACTATGGTATCTGGGACAATTTATCGTCCAGTAAAATTCTGTCAGTGTAACAGGCCTGCCTGGAGCCCTGCCACTTCTCATGATGTCACCACATTAACACACTGGATTTGCCGAGCTCCCTGTAAAGGATCCACTGCGACTTGTCTTCAAACTATGACACGTATTATTTGCTTAGAAGCTCACCAGATGCTGCAGGTATTCAGTTGCCAGGCTACAGTGGAGCTCAAGGCTCACCGGTGCTTTATTACATTACGGTCAGTGACACCCGGTCTAATCTGGCTTCCCTTTCAGGGAGAGAGAGCGAGCTCAGAGGGGGTTATCTCCTTTTCTAGCAGTGCTAGCTGTGAGCTCCATTAAGCAATGTGTGTGAGCTGACTGCTTAGGGATCGGGGAAACTCGTGTTAATCTATGGACCAGTGATGATGTGTCTGTCGGCTTGGTGTCAGAGGTCAGAGCGTGACCTCTGTTGTTGGTAAGCATTCTGATAGTAGCGTCACAGTGTCAGTAATGTTTCAAATTCCTAAGAGCTACAGGAAACTTTATGAAACATTTGTTAAAAAAATGTATTAAGCTTTTTTTCACTTTTAATAAGGTAAACATGCAAAGCTTTTTCTTATATGAGCTTTGGATCTACAATGATTCATACATCCCTTTTCTATTAAAATATCTGACAAAAATATTTAAAATATTTCATACTTTATTTTAGCAAGTAAAAAAAAATCACAATATAATTTAGAGTTTTTTGTTAGATTTGGCTGAATTGACTTATTAGTGGAATTCTGGATGTGTTATATGTAGTGGTGTCAGATTAAAGGTTGCAGACAACACTCAGATATTTAATATGTTGTTTTTGGCTATGAGAAAATCAGTTAAATACCTGGAATTTTGTGATTGAAATGGGACATGAAGAAGTTAAAGGGGTGTGGATACTTCTGTGAGGCTTTGCCTTCATTCAGGCTAAAAACGGACAAGCTGTAGGTGACAATTGAGGGAAAGCAGCAAGACGTGAAAAGCCTCATTGAGTCCAAGCTCGAGAGGTTTCATTTAGGATCAGTGGGAATTTTGGCTTAAATCAGCGCCTACTGTAATGGTTCACAGCACCTTGGCAGAATAAATGTATCTAGTCTTTTATCAGGGTTCTTGCTGGGTCTTAAACAAAAAACGTCTAACATTTGAAAATCAAAATTTAAAGCTTTAAAAATCTTAAACTCCCAGATTTTCATCCACGGCCTGAAATGAAATTTCATCAAGTCTTAATATTTAATTTTGAGCATTCGTGATCAGAAGTTGAGTTATGTGTCACGTTGGTCTTAAAAAGTCTTTAAAATGTTTTAAATTTTTCTTGATGAAACTTGCAAGACCCCCCGTTTTATTATCCAGTAAGGAATCAAGGAATATAATTACTTTTTCACCTGAACGATAATGATTTTTTTTCTTTCATCCGAGTCATTTCTTAAAATGAATTTTCCAGAATCCACCGAAACGGCAGAAGAGACGCACTTCACAAAGAGAACCTCCTCCTGCGAGGCTGCACCGTCCGCAACACAGAGGAAGCCGTGGGCATCGTCATCTATGCAGGTCAGTCTGACCCAGCGCCGCCGCCGGACTGCATCACGCTCCCCTTAAGACCTGTGACCAACACGCCTCGCTTCTGTCTGTCTGTGCAGGTCACGAGACCAAGGCCATGCTCAACAACAACGGGCCACGTTACAAACGCAGCAAGCTGGAGAGACAGATGAATGTGGACGTGTTCTGGTGTGCCTTCATCCTGCTGGTGTTGTGCCTGTTTGTTGCTGTTGGTATGCAGAACTTTGTTTCATATGCACAAGTTGAAACATTTTTGCCCCATCAGAGGCCAGTTTATTTTTTTACTTCTTTTTTGTCATATTTAGATGTTTTTAGCTCAACAAACAAATGTTTAGAAATGAAAAAACAAGACCTGAGGAAAGATAAAAAGTAGACTTAAAACGATGATTTAGTTGTTAAAAAGAAACTTGATGCATTTCATTTTTGATAACTTTCAGCCAAACGCTAATTTTTTTTAAACATAATGAAAAAAAATTGCTTCGACTTATTGTCCCTGTCACCTTGTTTGTAATTAAAGTCACAAACTGCTGGCTGGACATTGTGTGTCAGGATTGTCCAGTAAGGAGAAAAATTAATACTTCCATTAAAGCTGCGATATGTAACTTTTATGAATTTTTAAAAATATTTTTTATGTATTTGTGAGAACTGTCACTATGGTGTGACGGTATGCTATATGAGGTAGGTAATCTGTGAAAAGATGAAGCTCCTCTACCTCCTCCGAGCCATTACTGCCATCTCACCAAAAACAACCAATCAGAACCAGGAGGAGGGCCTTGATGCTGTCAATCACCCTCACATACTCACTGCTCAACATGCTAGTGGTGGAAAAATCACTTACCATTAAAGGAAAACTGTTCATCCCCAGTCACCTGTGGCTATGCTAACTAGCCTTAGCTTTCACTGCAAGCTCTGCTGTTAGGAAGAAGCTGCAGCTAGCAGAGAGGAAGGGAGACGGGGTATTGACAGTACTAAGATCCGCCTCCTGGCTCTGATTGGTTGTTTCTAGTTGGGAGAAATCAGAGGAGCTCTTTTTTTTCCTCAGAGTTTCCCAGTATACATATACGGCACACTGCAGCTTTAATTACCGGAAGTCTTTCAGGTCCTGACGCTTCCAACAAGTTCCAGACCATCACATTACCACCACCATGTTGAACTGTGAGAACAACAGTTTGTGGAAATTAATTTCTTAATGTTGTTAAATAACAACATTATTATCAGACTGTTGTAACTGATAATAATAAAAAGCTTTGAGTCAACAGAATATAGAATTTTAAATAAGATTAATTAAAACCATTATTTTGTGATTTATGTGATTGGTTTCTATTTAGTGAGGGTTTTTTCTATTCTTACCATATGTTTATTTATATACACGTTTATTCATATATAAGTGAAATTGGAATCCATACAAAGTTGGCCTATTTAAGCATACCTTGTATTTGTACTATTATTGAGAACATAACCAATAAAAGAATGGTTCCTATGAGGAATTCAGAGAAAAAAAATAAAAAAAAAGAAATATGTGAGAGAGCAAATATTCCAACACTGTATCCTAAATCATTCTCATATTTTGCTTATATATATATATATATAAAATGTTGTTTGATTTTTATGCTCTCCGTCTTTCTGCTGACCTTTGCTGTTGCCGTTCCAGGTCACGGGCTGTGGATGTTTCAGTACGGAGATAAGAGACCCGTGTTTGATGTTCTTAGTCCAGAAGGGACAGACTTATCACTTGTGATGTCAGTCATTTATCTCTTCCTCACCATGATCATCGTCTTTCAGGTACGAAATTGTGAGGAGCGGGGTTGGGGGGTGGAGGGGACAAAAAAAAACAACAAGTGAAACCCAGATAACACGTGCAGGGACAAACCGTATCAGTATTTCTAAAAGATTCTCTTCCACTGTATGCAGGCAGCGCTGTAAATCAAGTTGTTAACTGAAATTATTGCAACCTCTGAGCATATGACCTCTAAATCTTTATCTCCATTTAGAAAAAAAAAGAAAAAACCCTCAGCATGCAGTGAGGATGTATGCACTTCATGCCTCACACAGCCTCTCTGCTGTGCAGGATCAAGTTGGGGAGGGAAAAGTTATCACGGAGATCTATTGATCTGTTTGCTTGTGACCTGGATCATTGGTGAACGTGTCACACCGCTCCGTGTCATAAGCAGCGGATCGGTTTTGATCCTCGGGGTTTCTGTAGAAAACGGCGAATGAATGTCGGCGTGGTCGGTGATGTGCTTTAGCTGTGTAAACAGTGGCTGCATTTGCCATGCGGGGGAAGAGCGGCGGGGGGAAAGCGTGCAAACTTAACTGCCTTCCCAGATGTTATGACTCGGTCTTCTCAGCAAAAGTGTTAATGGAAATGTCCCATCAAGGCTCATACGAACCTTTTTCTGAAATAATCGAGCAAATGCGGAGCACACTTTTTAAACAGTCTTCCTCCCAGACCATGTGGTACTCTTCTGTTCGTATATAAAAGTGCACAAAGCTTTTTTAAATGTTTTTAAACTTTCTGAACTTTTTTTTTTTTTAAGAAAAGTTGATGAAACCCAACCAAATTAAAAGTCTGATATCAACTTTGTGAGTCCATGAAGCATTTTTAAAATATTTTCTTCATTCATTTATATGTACATCAGTGGCTTAAAAAAATCATACCATCTTTTTTTCATTTATTCTCGGTTCCCTTTCTAAGAAAACAAACAAAAACAAAACGATGTTACAAATGACAGAAAATACTTGCCTACCAAGATGGCGCCTCAGTGGCACGGATCACTTCCTGTTCAGATTTGTAGGAGCTGTGCATAGAAGCAGAAAAACTTTGCTTGTCAAACAAGATGGTGGCCCTTGGTGGTCTGACAACATTCTGAACTACGGAAACTCAGGGAGTGCTTTAGTGGGGGAATACCGATGGCAAAAAGTCAAATGTTAAGCTCTGAGAAGTGGTTCAGACTGTCTGCTCACTTGTGCATTGTGTGCTCTGAATCCTCTCTGTAACTTTCCTTTCCTCTCCCAGGTGCTGATACCCATCTCGCTCTTCGTGTCGATTGAAATTGTGAAGATCTGCCAAGTGTACTTCATCCATCAGGACATGGATCTGTACGACGAGGAGACGGACTCCCAGCTGCAGTGCAGGGCGCTTAATATCACCGAGGATCTGGGCCAGATGCAATACATCTTCTCCGACAAGACTGGCACGCTGACAGAAAACAAGATGGTGTTCCGGCGCTGCACTGTGGCCGGAGTGGAGTACTCGCACGACGCCAACGGTGAGTTCAACTGGCCGACGCGCAACCCTGGTTTCCCCTTTAAGGTCCTTCCTAACGGCTGGGTGTCTTGACGCGACGCAGCTAGAAGGATCGCCATGTATCAGGAAATCGATTCTGAGGAGGAGGAGTTCATGTCCCACGGAGGCACCCTGCCCAGACGGGACAGCGTCACCAGCCATCAGAGCGGACGCGTCGTGCTACGCTCCCACAGCACCAAGTCCCACCGCAGGACGGGCAGCAGGGCCGAGGCCAAGCGGGCCAGCATCCTCTCCAAGCACACGGCCTTCAGCAGCCCCATGGTCAGGTCACCGCTCCGTCCAGCTCCGTCCTCATCCGCTCCAGTCCCCGCTAATGCGTCCCTTCGCTGTCCTGTAGGAGAAGGATGTCACCCCCGACCCTCAGCTCCTGGACAGAGTCAATGAATGCAGCAGTCAGCTGGACTTCATGCGCTTTCACCACCAGTCCATGTCCCACCTGCCCTCTGGCCTCTCTGATATCATCGATTTCTTCATCGCTCTCACGATCTGTAACACCGTGGTGGTGACCTCGCCTAATCAGCCCAGGCATAAGGTAAGGCGCGGCGGCTCCCACAGGCCTTCTGTTTGCTTTTGTGAATTCTTTTTGTGTCCTACAGTTCTCAACTTAAAAAAATAATTATTTTTATTAGTGGCCCTAATCCTCTTCTGCACATTTCCTATGGTGTATTAAATAAACACAGAATTGAAGATGAGTAACTTCACTGAATGAAGAACAAACATGTTTCAACCAAAAATACACTTGCAGTTTTTGTTAGTTTCATAAGTTTTTTTATTTGGAAAAAATACTGATTTGTAAAATTTTTCTTTTGCCTGATTTTATTTTTTATTGCTACCTATATGAATTATTATCATTTTCATCCTTAAAATAGCAAAATTTCCACCTAACTTTATCTTTTGATTTGATGACTGATAATTTGATCATTTACTCACTTGAGTAAACTTTTTACCAAAAACTTTTTACTTTTACTTGAGTCATTTCTTGGTTGGCTACTTTTTACGTTAACTGGAATAAAAATATGTCAAGTAGTTCTACTCTTACTTGAGTGCAATGCTTAGGTATTCTTGTCAAGTGAATGTGCATAGCTTGTAATTTAGTTTTCTAAGTTGCAATTCAATGATTGGTTTAGAAAATCACTAATATTTGTGGCATAATAATCAAGTTTTTCATCTTTTAGGTAGTCAAAGAATTTAAAAGTTTTCAGTCATCCTTCCCAAGATCCACTTTCACTAGTTACGCTTTTCCTAAAACTTTCCAAAATAAAGCAAAAATGTCCGTGTTCACGTACCTTTCACTGCCATTCTTTGATGTGCTGTGTCCAAACACAACTGTGTATCCGAGTTTTGTTTTGCTCCTGCGTGAGCCTGGGTGTGGTTGTCCTGTTCTGAGGTGATATCCTCCCCACCCATCACACAGCTGCTCCCCCTCCGCCTCCTGTCCTGTCCCCTCATGCCCCCCACTTCCCCACCCAGAGGGATGGAGCCGTGGCGATTAAACTGCACAAAATGACACATTATTCATGTGAGTTTGTCCTTCAAGGTTATCGCTTTAGATGAAGAAAAAAAATACAAGCCTTGCGCAAAACAAAATCAGCAGCTTTGATGCAGCCTCCCTCCAGCTTTTGTTTCCGCTCGTCTTTATTGTTGTGATTTGTTGTTCCCCGTGCCGATGCGATTGTTCACATTTTATTAAGATGCCCTTGTAGCTAACCCAGCCCATTGAAGGATTTATACTTGTGTATTTGTGAGAGCCGTGAGTCCTGCAGTCAGGAGACCGCGGAGTGAGTCACCCTCCGTGTTGTCGTACAGCACCACCCCGGCATGAAGGACTGGGTAAAGGATTTTTGCCAGGAGAGGCATTTTCATCAGTGCAGGCGTAGTGATGGATTTATGCTAATTAAAAAGAAAGGAGGGTAAAAATTGCTCTGAAAAAGTCCTAAATTTAACCTGCATATAAAATACTTTTAATCAATTTTCTAAAAGTTAAGTAGATTTCTCGACCACATTGGTGCTGTTTAATATAATGTAAGTAATACACTGATTGAGAATGCATTGATACTGGATTTGTTTGACTAAGTACTTCCTGGACTGGGCCTGTCATGATAACAACTCAGAATTGTCCCAGACGTGATTGCGATAAACAATTATATTGTTTCGAGATAATTTTCAAGTTATAGAATGATGATGACGTGGTAATGCAAATACACCCTCTCAAAGATCAATAAATCTTTATTTCTAATGATCATTTAACTCTGGACATTTTAAATATCCAAAACCCTAAATTTTTCTTTTCTTGTAAGGAAGACCAAACAGCACTGTTTGGAAATATGTTCATTCAAGAAAAACATAGACCCTTTGCTGCTAATTTATTGAATAACTAGATATAAAAGTGCAATAACATACATTTTTGTTATGAATCTGTTATTTAGATTATTCAACCATCAGATTACTAACTTAGCTTTCAGAAGCCCCTTGTCAATCATAAAACGTCTTTGAAAAACATACTTTAGAAATGTGAGCTGCAGACGTCAGTGCTGCTGCGACATGTTTTGCATTTTGGACTTGAATAGCTTTAGTGATACCTTCTAGCACAACTTGACCACAACAATATTCTTTTCCATTGTCACATCGGATCATTTCCAGGAACAAAAATTAACCCCCATGGGCCTAGAGAACCGACTTTTTCATCAGTCGCCGTTTGTGGGTGTCGCTTGTGTGTCAGAATTATAGACGTACAAGAAACATGTGAATACAAAGGTTCCTGCCAGTGATTTTTGTGTGTAAAAAAAAAATATAAAAAATAATAATAATCTTAGCCCAACTTTTTATTTTGAAATGGGTTCTTTTATCTTTTGTAACTCTGAATTACTTTCATACTACCTCAGCGGTACTGAAAGTGAAGTTCTATTCTTGCAGTAACAACTTCCACACTTGAGGGGCGTTGTGGTTAACATGACCTTTTTCCAACAAACAAACAAACCATTCCAAGTGCTGCACGGTTTGTTTACTTGCTGGAAAAAGACCCGATTTCTCAGTTTCCGACAATTCGAACTGGATGAACTGCTACACATGCACTTCTCCTGAGTGTATAAACTGGTGAGTGACTTCAGTTTCAGCATTACAAACATCACCATTGATTTGTTGGGTTCTTTTACTTTATCACAGGCCATTCCTTGTTGCCTTTTGTTTGATCTCCTGACAAATTGTGTGGCATAGTGTTCAAATTTAGGTGGTAAAATGTTGAAACGGAACCAGTAATGCTCCACAGGGCAGCAGCTGTTTCCAGGCAGTCTTTACTAGCAGTTACATAGTTTCAGGCTGAGTGTACCAACCTGATGACCCAGCCTGTTTTCCTTCAACAAGCCTTCCTCTGCTTAGACTCCTGTCTTTCCCAAAATTAGCTCAGTGTTTGCTCTCCTCGCTGATCCTCATAGCCGGGTCACATGGGGGAAAACTGCTTACGATTGACTGCCAGGAAGTTCTCAGTGTTTTTTTTTTATGCATGTGTGAGAATATAAAAGTGGAAAGTATTTGTGTGCTGTCAGAAACCAGCTGTTTGAGATCCTACAGTTTTGTTTTGTTAAATGTTGCAGCTGCAGCTTGGTTTTATTTTAAAAACCTTGAAATATTCTCCCTTTTACTTCACTTTTTTTTGCTACATTTACTTGAAACGCCTTTGATTGGCCAGGTTTTGGCTCAAACTGCATATCATTGAAGATTGTCATGTTGCCTGTGTGAAAAGTTTTGGTTTACGTCTTCAGCACCTAGCAAGTCCAGGTTAACATGACTTGATTAGTACTTATAGGTTGCAGGGTTGAAGATTTATTGTAGGCAATGTAGTTACTATCTGCTTTAAATGAAAGGGAGTTGTTTTGTTTTATGCTCTAAAATTTAGAAAACACTATACTAGGCTGTTTTTTTGGACTGTGTATTGCAAAAGTAATGATGTATAAACCTTTTGCCCTCTTTTGTCATGTTACATCCACAAATATATTATAACATTTCCAGAGTTTCTTTCAGAAAACCTGCTGGTAGAGGCGCTACAGCAGCCCACCGTGATTTTGTTTAAAGAAATGTTAAAAGTTACAAAAATGCAGAGGTGCAAAAGTAGACATCATAATAATTTGGAAATAATAGTGTGAGGTCAACAGGCATGTGCAGGGACCACACAATTAATGCACACCCCTTTGCTTAATCCGTCTTTAAAGGTAATTTTATGTATATAGCACATTTTCAGCAACAAGGCAATACAAAGTGCTTTACAGGATTTGAAAGGAAATACAACACTTTACTGTCACTGGTGTATTAAAAGTCCTATTTGAATTAAACAAACCATGCTCAGCCTGGTGGGGAGGCAAGTAAAGCCTGGTGGCCCACCAGGCTTATGATTCACTGGGGGAAACTTGATTTCATTGGGATTTTATGTCATAAAGGTCATTCAAACAAATAAAATGATTGACTGGTCTGATCAAAGTGACTTTGATTGGGACATTTCTACATATAAACCTGTTTTGATCTTTGCCTCTATGCTCAGCATTGTTGTTCTGTCCTCTTAACTGGTTTTTGTCCAGGATTGTCTTCTATTTAATTGAGTTATTAAGCATTTGCCAGTGTTATTATTGCAGTAGCTATTTGGTGAAAAATCATACAATAATGTACATGATTCCTCTTTGTGGCAAAAGTACCCCTGTGGAATCTAGATACAAAAAACTGGACAGTGGAAACGTACAAGTTGAAGAGAAACATCAACATTGCTGTCTATTGGCATGTTTCATGCAATGTGCTGAAACTTCTGACCAATTACACAGCACTTCGAGCTCGGCCCGGTCCTGGTGTCGAGTTTGGCAGGCAATGGAATGACGCAATTTACGTCATGTACCCACGTCAATGAAAGCCGATTTTAGCACTTCGGGGCCTTACTGTTCTCAACTATAACACTGTAAAGATAAGATAATACAGATAATGGATGGATGAATGGATTAACACACACCTTGCAGTTAAACAATTTAATTTTCAGATGTTTGATTGAACAGTATTCTGAAGTCCAAAAGTTTGGGATATTATTCTACAAACTCACCCAGCATAAACTCTTCCAAAACATTCTCCCTGCCCATTGATGTTTGTGGTTGTAAAGGGATGAAATAAAGTTGAAAGGGTTATGAATATGTAACCCTAGTACCGCAGACGGGTATTTATCCTTTGATCTGTGTTTTCAAGGTCCGAACAAGATTTGAACTGAAGTCTCCGGTGAAGACCTTCGAAGACTTCATCAAGCGCTTCACCCCCAGCCGCCTGACTTCGGGCTCCAACAGCAGCAGCTCTTCCAGTCTCAACCGCTCTTCCAACAGGGGATGCTCCAGCCTGCTCTCCTCTCCCTCGACAGAGAGCACGCTAACCAAGCTGAACGAGGAGCATCTTTCCGGCACCCTGGAGCAAGCCTTCAGCGCCTTTTCACCTCAGTACGACGAAAAACCGCCCGACCACCCCGAGGAAGGAGAGCTGCGCTACGAGGCGGAGTCGCCCGACGAGGCCGCGTTGGTCTACGCCGCCAGGGCGTACAAGTGCTCCCTGGTTGGACGCCTCCCTGACCAGGTGACGGTGGAGCTGCCTCACCTGGGGAAGCTGACGTTTGAGCTGCTGCACACGCTGGGCTTTGACTCCACCAGGAAGCGCATGTCGGTGGTGGTGAGGCACCCGCTCACCGATCAAATCACAGTCTATACCAAAGGAGCGGACTCCGTCATCATGAACCTCATCAAACCTCCCGACACAGGTAGGGAACTAGACGTTCAGTCATTTCAAGCTGTTGTCTGGGTTTGTGCAGTTTGAAGAGAAAGATGGTGGCAGAGGAAGACTTAAAATTTTATCGCAATATTTTGTGGTACCATTGTGGTAACGATAAGTGTGAAGATAAGAACTATTTGTTACGTTTTAGGTGACTGTATGGCTGCGACTGCATGACACAACAATTATTAAACACAAATACTGTCCTTAAAAAACATTCATTAGTAATTCACTTCTTTAGGACATCAGTCATATAAAAAAGTGTGATTCGTATCACTAAATTGCACACAGTAAGTATATTTAATCATATTTTCAAAGTTATTGACAATGGAGAAAAATTGCAACAATAACAATACAGACCATTTTAATTAAAAGAAAAACATTATTAATTTACAGCAACAGCAATGAATCAAAATATAAGAAGTGTATCACAATAAATGATAAGCACTGTGATAAATACCCACCTGTAGTTGGGGTTGTCTGTGTTTTTGTGGTGAATTTCCGTTCTGGTTTAGAGTTGTTGAGCTGGAAGGAGACCCTCCTGGTCTTAAATTGTTTTGCATCCTGTTCTCATGTTAAACTCTACAACACAACGGACTTTATGATGCCACTTGTTTGGGCAGCATAATATGCCAATCATGTCATTGCAAAGACATGATTGGAGTACAATATGAACTTGCATTTGACATGATGATGCTGTATTTATTCAGTTGGACAGTCACAGAGCAGCAGAGGCTCACACTGGACACAGACAACTGGCAATGTTTACCAGTAATATTGCTGTCAGAAGATTTTCTAATGCCATGAAATCCCACTGCTTGTGCACTTATCAAACCCTCTGATGCTTTCCAAAACACAAAGCCTGTGTTTTGGCTTTGCACTCGTTCTTTTGGAAATAAAAGGGGCTTTGTAACTACAGATGCAAGCCATAGTTGGTATTTTTGTTTGAAAACCAGTATCGTTTGTGCTACTTTACGTTGTGTTATCTTGTTGCATAAATAGTAATAAAATTAATTGACATTTGAGGTGATAAAGTGACCAAATGTGACAAGGTTCAAGGTTGTCTAAGGATGTTTTCACACCTGATAATCTGGTAGATTCAGTTCGATTTGGGACCAAAATTTCAACATTTGTTACATTTTCAGCTGGTGTGGTTCACCAGCTGAAAATGATCCAAACCAATTGGCAAAACTTTTCCCCTCTTCGCCTGTTGTGGCACTGCACAAAGCACTACTGAAAGAAATGACACGGAAACTTCTGAAGAAGACACCAAGCGCAACTTCCTTTTTCACAAAGTGCAGACAAAAATGGAGTGGCGTCAGATTGCTGTAGGATTGGTCTTTTGTTGCTGATGAGACAACAAGCCATTTCCCCCACTAGCGCTAAACTCTCACATTTGTTTTGGTTGTACTTACCCAGAATGCCCCGCGCTACAGTCTCTTTCTTGCTTTTGGAGCGGTCTCCGGTCCATTTAGCGCTGTGGGTATGTATGCGTATGTGGGTGCCAGCGTTCACTTCAATCGAACAGAGACCTAGGTTTGTAGGCAGAGCAGAGTTTATTTTTCAGTTCACATCAGAGCTCAATTGCGCATTCACACCTTCCCAAACAAATCAGACTTTGTAGGCAAACAATCTAGAGCTTGATGAAAGTGAGCTAAATGGGGCTGGTGTGAATGTACCCTAAAGGTTTTTCACCATACACCTAATACTCACTATTAGCATGTCAGCCCACATAACCACTCATTGTTGACTGCTCAGTTCTACATTTATCAGTTTCTCTCTCTACCAACAGTCACATTTCTGGAGAACAAATCTACCTGAGCCTTTCAGCTGCAGCGCATTCGTCGGATTCTTTCTTTCTTTCATAACTAATGTAATATTTCCTCGCTTCCATCCACTGAGCTTTCCTCAGAATCCCCACCTCACGCTTTGAAAACCTCTCCCTTAGAAGATCCACCTCTTACCTAAACTCTGCCCTTTTCCACGTCAACAAACAAAATCGCAGGTTATGTAAGAACTCACTTTGAGCTTAAAGTCTGCTTTCTGCTACCTTCCCCAAATAAACTTCCTTTTTTCTTCATTTTCCTTGTTGCATAATCAAGGCGCTCCTTTGTATTCTAATGGTAAAGGCGCAACAGGTTGTTAGTATTCCAGGCACACAAAGAAACACTTAATTATGTTTTCTGCTAAATCTGTATACACGGTAAGGAGTCTTGGAAAGATTCAGTCCGCATTAAACTCTGACGTTTGCATCTGAAGTCCTGCTTGCTATACCACAAACTCTTTCATAACTGATGAACGACATAAATAGTTATTTGTCATCATGTGGAGATTTAGCAGATAAGCTGAGCTTGGAAAAAAACGGCTTATTGTGTTTTATTTTAGGACACGGATCAGAGAGAATGGCAAAACTGTTGGAGGCATATTCTTTAGCCTTACTTGGGTTTGGTCACATCCCTCCACAAGATGTAAGGGTGAGACCTTAGAGTAAGCAAAACACAAAATAGAGACTTTTTAAATGTGACAACAGAGCACACACAAGCTACATTCATGTCAGAGCATTTTCTCTCCACATAAATACAATTCTCCCCCCTCAAAACATTTTTTAAGAAATCATTTTCTGATTCCTTGTCTTATCCCTTAGAAGATCTGCTGTACTCCATCTTGTCATGGCAACAGAAACCTCTTCATAACTCTATGTAGCTAAGCTTAGGAAAAATGTTCAAGGCTAGCATTAACCTTTCCCCTTAGACACTTTGTAGAATATCATGAAAAGAGAAGATAAATTAAAGTGAAATTGGTTAAAAACTCTTTATCCCCTTGCTTTAAATGAGACTTATTATTCAAAATCAACTTTTTTGTAGTCCACAAATACTTTTTGTTGTGAGCTCTGTAGGAGTGCAGAAAAGTTGAATTTAGTCTCTCGGTTCTTTGTAAACATTCTTATATTCTGTTTGGTTCATATTTTTCAATCCGTTCAGTTTTCTCTCTTCCCATCACGTTTCTTTGGGGGGTTTGGAACGTCCCAGTATTTACCATGGCAAATACTGAGACATAAACAAAGTAATGACAGTTGGTTAACAAATTTTGTGAATTGGCCTTTTATTTTTCTTGCAGTGACTTTGTAGTTGAAGGAGGCTGAATAAGTCAAAATGTTTGGTTGCTGTGTGTGTTAGCCCACACAATTCGTCGCACCGTCCCCAGGCATCAGAACCTCGGCTGAGTAGCAGTTAATATTGGATCGCTTTAATAACATCGACTGACTTTGGCATTTGCTTATATAAAAGATATAAAGGACATCTGTACCTCTCGTCTTGTTCATACTTACCTGTACAATAATAAGAGAAAATATTTTGAGAGAGACTGTGCTGCAGTTTAATCCCCCTGCTTGTCTGCGTTACATTCAACTCATTTGGAGACTCCCTCCATGCTGCAACGCCAGGCACATTAGCATAAAACTAAGGAACAAAACAAGAGTTTTGGTGATTAAAGTGTTTACCTTTTAATGTATTTAAACTCAAGTTTAAAGTGAGGGAAGTGCAATTTCAACAACAGATCATTACAAAAGTAGATGAGAAGTTAGTCATGTAAAATACTATCGACTCTCCTGAACAGAAAGCGGTCCTGTTCAACTCTGAACCCTGCAGTGAAAGTAGGAGTACTGTGCTCCGTGTTATGGCTGCAAAATATGAATATAACAAGACAATAATAAGTTACTTTTATCCAGAGAGCTACAACAATTTATTGTTGGTTGAATTTTATTATCTGCTATCTTGGCTCAACTCTTGACTAATGTTTGTATGCTTTGGCATTTTTCTTTCCTTTTTTTTTTTGGCTTTTATGATTCATTTGTTTGTCTTGTTTTCTATTTTTCTAATGTTTTATGTTTTCTTCATCCTAATAATTTAATACAAAGCAACCTGTGCACCACTTTTCCTTGGCCTCCTGTTAGTTGATTCCTGCTATTATGTTGTTTTTACATTTTGCGCCTGTTCATTAGTAGCAGGAAGTTCCAGCTTCACAGAAAAATGAGTCCCCAGATATGTTATCCTCCTGTCCTGAGTGTAGATGGACACTCCTGTTTCACATGTTTTTAGACTGGCATCCCCACATTCGCTCAGATAAGGCTGGATTACAAAATTATTACTCAACTCAGCTTCCATTATGAGAAGAATGCAACTCTTTGGAATGAACACTATGTGGTTTGTTTATCACTTTAGGGGCATTTATGCCGTTTTCTCTGTGAAATCCAGCACAGTGGTGAGATTTTGGCTTCATTCTCCCTCCTTTAACAGATTTAATGGTTAATAGGTTGGGTTCATGCAGGTTGGGTTTCACCATAATGCTGATCTGTGTAGTGATAGCTTTGATGAGGCTGTTATTTAGTGTTAGTCAAATACCATCGCACATGGAGGCGCTGAATGTGGTCTGAAGTCCCTTGAGCCTTTAGAAATTGCAGCACGACTTGCGACAAAACTCCAGTTTCACCACTGCTGCATGGTCTTGTGTTAGAAACTCGTATTTTCTGTAAACATTGTGCTTTAAAATGATAATAAATATGAAAAAAAGAACTTTAATATTCATGTCCAGGTTGACCTTGGTACACAGTGCCTTGTGAATGTATTCATACAGACTTTTCTCATTTTCTTATTAATGTTATAACTGCATAGTGTATTTTATTGATATTTTATACTCTTCACCCCCAAACAAATCCAGTTTGTTACTTCCACATGTGGTACTAAATCTATCGATCTGATCGTTTTCATAGCGCCTGCAGTCTGAACGGTCACATCACATTTCGTCCCAACTTTTAGGTCGTTCTGCACCAACCATAAACATTGGTCAACAGGCCTACCAATGTTTATGTTTGTGATAAATTGTCCCACAACTTATTGCAATAAATGATATTGTTGTTTTGAGACCATTTAATTAATATAGTAGTGTGACGGAGGAGCCGTCATGAGCTGGGACTTAATTATAAGTCCGTGTCATCATGCGAGCACGCCCGCACACACATACACACAATCGCTAACTTACTTTTGTTGCAGCTTAAACTGACGCGGTTCATCGTGGGTGCACACGCGGTGTTCCTGCTTCAGTTAGCATATCCATCCTAACCTGTTTTCACTTCCAAACATTTTCCCGGTTTTGTTTTCAAGCAGGGTTATTTCCGGAATGTGGCGCCCCAGGAGGGAGTAATGTGATGACGTAATGATGTCATCAGAACGTACTGAGTGTTTTCTATTAAATTGAGTATTGTATTTTTGATTACAAGTTTATTTTTTTTCTCTTTATTATTATTATTATTATTATTATTTTGTATCCTTTAATAGTTTACTTGAGTTAGAAGTAATTGTTTGTTTTTGTTTGCTTGTTTGGTCTTTCTGTGGGCGGAGCCTGTGGCTTTAAAAGCAGGGCTCTGCGCCACAGGGAGGCAGTCTGAGAAGTCAGTGAAGGTGATGGACTCTTACACTGAAGGTACTGCTGTTTGTCTGATTTTAACCTGCCTTGGACGTCCTTGTATGTATTCTGCACCTGCCATCTTTGTCCACCTGAAGAAAAGCTAAATAAATTTCACTAAAGTGATCTCTGGCCTTGGGCAGTCATTTTTTTTGTTTGTCCAAGTCATAAGAGAACCCTGTCACAAGTAGTAATAACAGTAATAATGGCAACAACACATTCTCAAGGATCAATAAAGTTTAAATACTGGAACTGGAAATATCCAAAATGAATAAAGAAAACAGCAAAATAAATTTTACTGTCTGTGTGAACAATTATCTTTCAAAGAAAGGGATAGTTGCGACTAAAGCACCAGACTGAAGACTTTTATCACTCAGTTGTTGGTAAAAAGAGAGAGAAAAGAGAAAAACAATAAATCAAGCAAATGCAAATTAATGAGTTTCTTTTAGGGCTGCACAGTGGCGCATTTGGTAGAGCTGTTGCCTTGCAGCAAGAAGACTTTGGGTTCGATTGCCAGCCTGGGGTCTTTCTGCATGGAGTTTGCATGTTCTCCCTGTGCATGGTGGGTTCTCTCCAGGTACTCCGGCTTCCTCCCACAGTCCAAAAACTGTCAGGTTAATTGTCCCTAGGTGTGAGTGTGTGTGTACACTGGAATTGGAAGATATTTTAAACATCCAAAATAAAACGACAACCAAAAGCAATAAAGAAAACGGAAGTAAAAACCACACACACCTATAAATAAGATGGATTATGAAATTCTCCATCAGAATATATGAATCAAGATGGAAATTATCGAGCTCATCTTAATTTGTCATGTGATTAATTGCTTATTGCAACACTTTTGTTGTTTGTACAATATTTTAAAACCCATCGTTTCTCCTTCCACTTCATGGCTGTGGTGCTCGTCACGACCTGTCTGCGTTCAGTCGCCATCACACGCATTAATGCACTGGGGTCGTACTGTGACAAAATGCGAACGTCCTGTAGCTGGTCACCTAAAGGACCGGAGGTTTTTGCCGAGCCGCTCCAGCAGAAAGGGAAGCGCTTTCCTGGCGTTTGAAGCCTGAGGCCGCTGCCAGGATGCAGCTCATTTGTTCCTTTAGGTAAAAATAATTTGCTGCGGCAGTTTGTGGGAGGTCATCGCAGCCAAGCTGGGCTGTTATTAGTGAGATTGTATGGCTGGCAGTCAGATTGCTGGCTGGTGCATCTGTGTCAGGAGAGCTATAAAGCCAATCTGTTGGTGTGCTGTTCCCTCTGGCCAAGATGCGGCGCCGCAGAGTCACGTCGGCTACGCTCCGTTACCAAACATAAGACCCAACATCCTCAGCAAACTGCACATGCTTGTATTAAACCAATTATGTAACGCGGCTGAAACAGGATGGTTTTATTTTTGTGAGACGAAGAACTTCTGCCACCAAGCTGTCTGCTTGATGAGACTGTGACGTTTTTGTGAAAAACATTGAGATGCATGGTTACTGTAGGTGTGAGCACAGATGGTGATCATGTTTCTGTTAACATCTCAGCTAAATTTCCCCTCCCAGAGCAAGGAGTATTTGATCTTTTCGAACCAATTCTTTCTGTTGTCTTTTTTATTTTATTTTTTATTTTTTTTAAGGCAACACCAAAGGAAAGCGTCAGAAAAAGATTTTCTGCCGGACGCAGAACTACCTGAACCTGTACGCCGCAGACGGCCTTCGCACACTCTGCATTGCCAAAAAGGTAAGCGATGGGGTTGTGCGTCTCGCTGGATTCTGGGTAGGCTGCGTTCGCAGTCCGGCACAGATGACTGCGCGGGCCAGCCCTTCCAAACGGGACATGCTTCATGACTCAGCTGCAATCTGTGCCTCGTTCCCAGGCTGCTAATTTATGCTTTCACAGGCCGGGCTCAGTGTATTCCTTGCTTGTGCACAGCCTGTCACCAAAGCCGAGTGATGAAACACCTTGTCAAGGTTTCACATTCTGCTGTGCAGGAATCACAGCAGTAATGTTCCGTTTTTACACAAAAAACAGAAAAGCAGTGATTCTTTAGCTGTGTGTGTATTTGAGTGTAACCTTCTGGTGTGTTTTGTTTTGTGTGTGTGTGTGTCAGACTTTGAGTAAAGAGGAATACGCCCGCTGGCTGCAGCGCCACCTGGAGGCCGAGACGACCATCCAGGGAAGAGAGGAGCTGCTCTTTGAGTCGGCGTTGAGGCTGGAGACAAACCTCCACCTTTTAGGTTTGTTGGGTCACTTTTCAGTTTCAGAACGACTTCCTTCATTTTTAGACCAGAAAAAATCGTCATTCTTCTGGAGAAGCGTGGAGTTTGGTTTCGGTATTTTCTAGATGTGGATAAGTTTGGAAAAATAAACCCCTTTTGTCTCAAATGTTGTGTCCTTTCCATCTTTTCTTTTCTTTGTGTTCTTTGCATTATGTCCTACCTTCTATCCCTCCTTTGTTCCCGTTTTCCTCCTCTCCTTTCTCTTCCTTCCTTTTCATGCTCCTCCATCGTTTCTTCCTTGTGTGCTTCCCTCTATGCTTCCTTTCTTTTATGTAATCTTCCTTATGTTCTTTTCTCTGTGTGCTCTTCCTCCTTTTCTTCCTGCCTCATGTCTTTCTTTATTTCTTTTCCTACTTCCTGGTTTTCTTTGACTCATGCCCTTTTATACTCCTTAAGTTTATCCTTAATTTCCTGGATCTTTTGTCTTTCTTCCTTCCTTCCTTCCTGCTCCTTTGTATCCATTATTCTTAGGATCCTTCTCTTTCTTTCTTCTGTCATTTCTTCTGTGTTTTTTATTCTTTCCTTTCTTGTCCCTTTTTCATTTTTATCATAAATCCTTTGTTTTTTCCCTGTGCCCTGTATTCTTTCCTGTCCTTTCTTCCTTGTCATTCTTGTCCTTCCTTGTGTGCTGTCTTAATTTCTTTTTTCCGTTCATTCTTTTTCTTCTTGCCTTCCTTTCTTTCCCCGTTGTTCACACTTTCTTTGTCTCTTTCTCTTTTTTCCCTCTTTCTTTGTGTCTTTGTTCCTGTCTGTCTAATAACATAAATGACAGAGAATTGTGGGAAGCTGAGTCTGGGAAAGTGTGAAACATGTCGATGAGAAACGTGTCTGTGTAATGCTGGCGGTTGTGCAGCATTGTTGCAGACGCTGATATGCATCTGTCCACAGGAGCGACTGGCGTTGAGGATCGGCTGCAGGACGGCGTCCCAGAAACAATAGCTACGCTGCGGAAAGCCGGCCTGCAGATCTGGGTCTTGACGGGTGACAAACAGGAAACGGCAGTCAACATTGCCTACGCCTGCAAGCTGCTGGACCCCGATGAGGAGATTATAACGCTGAACGCCGACTCCCAGGTGGGCCACAGCACCCAAAAGCTCACCCTGTTTACCTAATCAATGCCACATGCTGAATAATCAATATATTAATTATGTACAAACCAAACATTAACGTAGGCTTCAGACAATTCAGAGTGAAGGCGTACTGTGGTTTTACACAGCTACGGTTTCAAGACTGCTAAAATCCTCCATCATACCGTTGCTATGGTGTCAAAGCCTTTTCATGAGAAGCCAGAGGAAGTGAGAGAGTTTCCTGCTGCTGACTGAAGCAACAAAGGCACTTATATTTTCCTTCACTTCTAGAAAAGGTCTACACTGATCAAGCCAGGACTAAAACAGTTAATCGACTTAATTTTGATTAATCATTTTTGAAATAATCAACCTATTTAGTAATTGATTAATCATTAGCTGGAGTATGCAGACTCAAAAATGTAATTTTCAGAAAAAAAGAACATAGTTGGAGCAGTAGTGGAGACAAAACATAGATACATTTTCCATTCAAGACTCAAACTTCTTTGTCAGTAAATATTTTACCCAGAACTCCTCAGGTTGCATTTTTATCTGGTTCAAATTCTGTAAATAAAATCCATTAAACACCCTTTTGTTGTGTAATTACTTATCGTTTAATCACCAGGTCAGCTGTACGCTGTATTGATCTTAAGTCGTGAAGAAAGGACTATGATTTTCACATGTTGTTAGTCGTTTTCTTAGTTTGTTTTTGTTTTAGCTGCAGATGCATCATTTGCTACAAATGATCAAGCATTCTCTAATGGAGTACAGTTGCTGCATTTTGGATAACAAAATGCTTCTATTTAAAGATAGAATTGAATTATTTGCAGCTTTGAATGTATTTTTAATATTGTTTAGAGGGAGGCTTAAATGAAAAATTTGCAGAATGCACCAATTTATCATATTAATCGTTCAAATAATTGTCTAAAGATTGACTACTAAAATAATCAGACATAGCATTACGACTGCCTTGTATATGGTGTGTGGGTCCTGCAGTTGCTGCTAAAGCAGCGCTGAGCTGTCAAATGACGGACTCTACTAGACCTGTGAAGTTGTGCTCTGCCAGCTTACCTTCTTCTCTTAACGCATCCTGGTGCCAGGAGTTTTCCAGAAAAGATGATTTGATTTGTTGGAATCTGTTGCTGCTAAGGCATGTGGTTTCCAGATGCAAAGCTGCTCGTGCGGTTTAGACATCGGCGTGTTGGTGCTGACCTCTACCTGACCCCGTACTTCTGTCTAATCCAGGAGGACTGCGGTGTGTTGCTGGAGGAAAGTTTACGTTACATCCAGTCCAAATTCCTCTGCAACTCCAGAGACCCATCCACCAAGACCTTCCTGAGTAACATAGCGCACTTTGAGATTTACCCACAATCCTCCCTTTCCTCCTCCCAAACCGCTCACTTCATGGTGCACCGGCTGGGCTTGGTAATTGACGGGCGGACCTTGGCCTACGCCCTGGACAAGAGCCTGGAGGATAAGTTCCTGGCGATCGCTCGGAGCTGCCGCTCGGTGCTGTGCTGCCGGTCCACACCACTGCAGAAGAGCATGGTGGTCAAACTGGTGCGAAACAAGCTGAAAGTCATGACTCTGGCCATAGGTGAGCACCGAGTGAATGATGGAGTGTGACAGAAGTTCAGATTTCAGTGTTGCCAGGTTTTGCTTGAATCCGATGGCCCAGCAGTTTTCCTGAAACCTAAAAATTGCTCTAAGTAGAACAGAAGCAAAATGTTTACAGTCCTACTGGGGTGTATTAAACACGGTTCCTAAGAAGTCAGGAATCCAAATATTTTTCCATTCTTCCTCTAAATTTTCAGATTTTATTTTTTGTCCCATGTTATAAAAGTTTGAGTGGCTGGAGAGATGCATCTTTCTGGCCATCCAGCCGTCAAACTAGGAATATAAGGTAGAAACAATAGAAATTGGGTCTACGACAGAGATCTGTAGTCTATCGGCTAACCGCGGTAATGCTTGTTGATAACATAATCATTTGGCATCAAAACAGAGAAAGCAGCGTGACTGAGAGCACAAAGGAAGAGCTCAGTGAAAAGTCAGGTGCAAAAACATCAATTATCTGGACCTGGTTCAGGTTTAGCCTCCAGCAGTCTTTACGTGATGCTCAGGAGGAGTGCGGCAAATGTAACAGTCCGACAGCGGAGTAGTGGGGTGACACGGTGACGGTCTGGTGGTCTTTCCGAAACCACACCAAAAAAAAACAAACCTTGTAAAAGCGCACAGTGCAACCAATCCAGACCGAACTGAGATTAGAGAGCCGCTTCCAATGCTTTGGTTTGAAATCTAGTAACTTGAAACCTGAACGTTTGTTTAGAACCCAAAAATGTTTTTCTGTAACTTCTCCTGAAGGTACTGTCAAAATAAATTGAATCATTATTGCAGTTTGGCTCTGCATTTCAAATTCAGCTTGCTAATAAAGAAATTGCCCATTCAGATGAATTACTCTCTGCCTTTTATGCCTTTGCTTAAGAATAAACCTTAAGGACAGAGATGCTGTTTTCATCATCGCAATATTTGAAAATAATATCACAAATGACCGTTGTCCTAATGCAGCTCTAATCAGAATGGTCATAACCTTTTGGTAATTGGATTGCTTCAGGCTTGTAATTTTTTTTCTTTTGCTTTAATCATTATCAGCTGTGATTATACCTGCTGTGGTATCTGGGTCATTAAAAATAACGACCAACATTATTGAAATCTAGCAGCGTTCCTCGGGTGCGGGTACAGCTTGAAGTCGGGGCAGGAAATGATTCTGTTGAATTTAGTGTTTTCTTGAAATTGTTGCCTTTTAAAATCCATGCTGAGCAGCTTGTTGTTTTGGACGTTTGCATTTAAGTGGCGTAACCGGCTGCGCTGACATGCAGGAGGGATCAGAATCCTGCATTGCGCCACATGTGGGGAAAATTTTGGTTTCATAAACACAAACCCTCCTGGGAGACTAGCTGTAGCCAAACAATCCAAAAACACTTTGGTGTCTGTCTGGCTGGGACTCATCATCAGATTGTTTTTTTTTTTTTTATTACCATTCATCTAGAACAGTGTTTCTCAACCCTGGTCCTCACCGCCCCCCTGCTCTGCATGTTTTAGATGTGCCTCTATTCCAGAGCAGCTGATTCAAATGATTGCATGACCATCAAATACTGCAGAAGCCTGTTAATCACCCAGAGATACAATTCAGGTGTGTGGCAGAAGGGAAACACCTAAAACATGCAGGAGAGGGGGGCGGTGAGGACCAGGGTTGAGAAACACTGGTCTAGAAAGTTGAATTGTCGGTATGTTTCGTTACATCAAGCTTCAATCGTCCAATTCAATAAATCACACCAAACACAGCGACAGATTAATTAATCTGTTTGCTATCGACAAAGAAGAATTGACGGGTTGGGTTGATGCCCCGAATTAAAGTCAGAAAGGGGGGCAGTTTCTGTGGGATTAATCTGCAAAAACATAAAATTTTACCAAGTAATTTTAGACTAGTTTCTAGTGCAAATACACTTGAAATAAGTAACGTACAAGTAGCTTTTTAGCATGATATAGGAGCTTGTTTTAAGTCAATTATTTCTAAAATTGATAAAAAAGTACTTGTTCCATTGGTAGATTATCTAAGTTTTAAGAAGGCGTGATGTACGTGAAATAATCTTCCAGTGGAACTAGTGCTTTTTATCAATAATAAGGAATTATTGTCTTAAACAAGCTCCTATATCTTGCTGAAAAGTTGCATGTAACTAGTCTTATTTCAAGTGTAGGGAAATATTCGCACTAGAAACTAGACCCAAAACTCTTGGTAAGATTTTGTGTTTTTCTGAGGCCGTATCAAGCAGCTAATGCAAACATTCGTTAGAGTGGGCCGAAATGTTGCCTCCCTCTGCCCACTTTCGCTGCTCCCACTCCCACACCTGAAGGAACAAAAACAAATCGTTTTTCTCGCGGTAAAACAAAATCAAGACGTGCTTGTTAGTTCACCTCTAGCTACACGGGGACAGGAGAGAAACTATTATTCAGCACCACACTGCAAAAACAACAAAAAAACTGCACCATCATAAATCTAATCTATCCTTCTCTGTACACTTGACCCATCTGAGCATCATCTTATTTGATGATGCAACATTTTACTGCCTCCAGGCTGTCTGCTTCTCCCTTCTGACCAATTATATTTTCTGCATCTTTCCCGCTCTGAGGGACTGTTTTGTGTCTGTCTCCCCGACTCATTAATCACAGGTGACGGAGCTAATGATGTCAGCATGATCCAGGTAGCGGACGTCGGCGTGGGGATATCCGGACAGGAGGGCATGCAGGTAAGGGCGAAAAAGTCCACGGCAGATGGAGAAAGCAGCAGATCTTGTCAGAGGTGTGGAGGTAGGAAGAAAAGCAGGAGTGTTTTTTTTTTGTTTTTTTTTGCGTGTAGTTAAGGACGGGGCTATAAATAGAATTGCTTTTGTTGTGCCGAGTCAGGAGACTGAGTCCTGCATCCTGCAGAGAAGCAGCACAGCTTGCGAGTGCCTCTGTCAGATTCAGATCTAAGGTCTCTGAGCCTCATTGCAGTTGGCAGTGAGGGTTTTAAAACGAAGGTTACGTCCTTCCTCTTGTGGTCTCATTCAGTGTAGCGTCCAGTTTCAGAACGGTTGACTCTCACTTAGAGTTAAGATCGGGCCTAAAAAATCCAACCCGACCCCGAATCCGACCCAACTCCACCAATTAACTATAATCATAGACCTGAGCCCAAAGTAAACCGGACATGTCGTTTTAATCACAATTTTATTGCTTCTGCAGGCTGTCATTTAAGCTAGCAGTGTAACTTCTCCCATCTTCCAGCTCCGTTTTGTCACTTGTTGTAACAGTAGGTGAGTCAAGTTCAAATCATCTGGCATGTGTGACTGATGGGAGCGGAGCAGGGCGGAACGGCATGTTCATGCATTGGGCTGCGCCAGTCTGACTACACCGTGCTTACTGTCTTTAATTCCTCAACAGGTTGATTAACACATTCTTTCTCGTTTGGTTTTCTCTCTGCTGCATGTATAGCAGGTTTATTAAACGAGTCCAGCCATCCAGTAAGTAGTTGTGGCTCGACCCGGCCTGAATTTAGGTTGGGTTCAGACCCGGGCCATAAATCTAAACTCCAGCAGCAGAGGTTCCCAATTAACTTCCTGCAGAGCCTTCGGCCACATGCTGCTGCACAGCACGTCCGCTCGCTCCTCTGTATCCTGACGTTAGCTGAACTTCTGGCTGAACTGGACTTTTATTGAATTAGGCCAGTCACTTTAAAAGGTCTGAATATTTATGCAACCACTTTTTTATGTTTTAGATTTTTAATTGTCATTATTTTTGCAGAAATGAATTGGTCTAGAAACTAGATCAAACAGCCATATGTTAGCCATGACTGATTTCTAAAAGCAAATGAAATGGGTAAACATCCAAGTGGATGAATATTTTTACCAGGTGCTGTACTTATTCTGTAACTTCTGATGTACGTCGGCTACGTTTAGGGACAAAATGCCTCATTTTGTCTCATTTTTAATGCATGTTTAATACAGTAAACTCTGGATGTTCCAGCTCGTTTTGAGATGCTCGACCATATTTCCTGCATTAAGACCAGCATACATTTACTTTATTGAAGCATAACCCAAACCAAACAATGTTTCCGCTGTTATTTCTGCTGTTGACGGATAATCTCGAAGTGCTAGCGGTGTCGTCTGGGAGGGTTTTAGATGCCGATGGATGAGACTGACACTTCCCTACTGCTGCAGCAGGGGAATCCCAATAAGCACACAACTTGTTTAAGTGTTATTGCACCCATTAGAGATTGATTAAAAAGAAGCGGCTGAGTGGAGTAGGTCCAGACGTGTCGGTGAGCAGAGAGTCAATCTGGGCCGCCCGCCTCTGGTGTTTTGCAGGCGGTGATGGCGAGCGACTTTGCTCTTCCTCGTTTCCGGTATCTGCAGAAGCTCCTGCTGGTGCATGGACACTGGTGCTACTCTCGGCTGGCGAACATGATCCTGTACTACTTCTACAAGAATGCCGTAAGCCACTTTGTCTGCTGTGGGTTTTTTTTAACTTTTTATTTTGAACGAGGATCAAAGTTTCTGACATCAGTCTATCCCGTTGTCGTTTCCCCGCAGATGCTTGTAACCATCGTCTTCTGGTATCAGTTCTACTGTGGCTTCTCTGGTTCAGCCATGATCGACCAGTGGTATCTCATCTTCTTCAACTTGATGTTCTCCGCCTTCCCTCAACTTATCACTGGTACTCTGGACAAAGACGTGTCACAAGAGACGCTCCAGCAACTACCTCAGCTCTATATGAGCGGCCAGAACTCTGAGGTCCGCTCTGACGTTACACCACACCAGATCTGAGTTATTCACAGCTTCATAAGGGATTTTCACCCCGAGTTTTTCTGAAAGTTACTTGTAGATTTTAGTATTTTTAGACAATTTCCAATGTGATTTTTTTCCTTTAAACTTTAACATCCAAATACAAATAGTTCACAGCATTAAACATAATTTTCTATCCTCCCTTAATTATTTGTATTGCGTCAGAAGCGACATGCCAACGTGTGTGAGAAGCGTCACTAGTCAATTTGCAACTGCTGTTTCCAATAAATAAGAAACGTAATTAAAATCATGTGATAAGTCATTAAAAGTCATGGCATTGACAGATTTAAAGAGTTCCATGAGATATGTTCATAATTCGGCCATAACTATGGCGCTAATAATCTATCAGTCATCTGAGGAAACGTGGTTTTAAATCAGATGGTTAGAGATTTTAAATTCTAGGCTTTCTTTAGCTCCTCCATATAAGCAAGTAGCTTGGCTAGCATTAGTACCTATTAGTGTGTCGCCTAGCGATGTAGACTCTTACCTTAACTCTTTTTTTTTTTTTTACCACAAATTTATACTTGGTGAATAATAACGACAGGGAGGCTGGGTGATGCTACTCAGAAGGCCAACAACTGATCTTTTGAGAATAACCGAGCTATAAACCAGACGTCATTTTATTTTTCAGTTCAGTCATTGACTAGTAATTTCATATCCTATTCACAGTTTTTTTTATTAAATTGTTTGGTTTCATTTCTGTCCCCACGTTTGAACTTTAAGATTTTAAACGTCATCTCTCGCTGTTAGCCAACCTGGACAGCCTGGATTAGCAAACAGCGATTGTTTATCCTGTTAGTGCTGCAGCTAATGACTTTTTTTGGATTAAATTGATAAATCTATACAAGAACATTGGACATTTTCCTGAAGCAGAAGGCTACAGCAAAGCTGTCACTTCTGAGAGAGGAGCAGACTAACTGTGAATGCTGGGATTTATCTTGCAGGAATATAAACCATACATGTTCTGGATGAACATGGTTGATGCCTTCTACCAAAGTCTGGTGTGCTTCTTCATCCCTTACTTTGTAAGTTTGGGCTTCGTTTCCATCAGCTCGCGTCTCTAAGTGTTTCTGTTTGTTGTTGATTTTACTCAGTCATGGTTTCCTCTGTCCACACCCTGATCCTCCCACTAACCGCCCCTCAGGCCTACGCTGACTCAGACGTGGATCTGTTTACGTGGGGAACTCCCATCACAACCATAGCTCTGTTCACCATCCTGATGCATTTAGGGATCGAGACCAAAACCTGGGTAAGAGAAATGCCTTCACCTCCGGTGACCGTCCGTCTTCCGAGTCTTTTCAGCTATTTGCTCTTAGTCACATCCATACTAGCATCCAGGTTTTATGTGAAAACGGATGTGAAACCAGAAATTCAATCAAAAAAGCCCAAGATTTCATGATTGTTCCTGATCCAGAGTCCTGCCTTTTTATTCCACTCTCTTACTGCTTTACATTTAGCTTAATTCTCTTGGAATTATGTCAAACTGTCAGATTAAAGCCCCCCTTTAAAGGTATTTTAGGTGACGGCAGACAGCGCTCTTTTCACTTCCCCCGTACAATAGCTGTGAACCTGTAATTAATGGCCGTTTTTGTACTGGAGTCCAATTTAATGACCTGTTGTAATTACATACTGTCAGATCAGCCAGTGTGTTCAGCTGCAGCTCAGCAGCCGTGTGTGTGTGTGTGTGTGTGTGTGTGTGTGTGTGTGTGTGTGTGTGTGTGTGTCTACCTCCACCATGTGCTGCATGGTGACATGCACCTACTCGATTTATGTACAGAAAATGTACAGTGTTCTTTAGCAGCCATTTTGAATCTGTAAATGAGAAACAGATTAAATTATTGAGACAAGAGAGTGTTTTTAAATTTTGAAAAAGAGAAAAAAAACATCAAAATTTACTTCTGGCTACATTTTCTGTCTTTATGTAATTTCTGTTGCTACACAGAGATAAAAGTGACATGCTATCATGTAAGCAAGAGTAGAAACTCTGAATGCAAATGTAATTTTAAATAAGCTTGTATTCTGAAAAATTATACTGGGGAACATGTTTCCTCATTAAAATATTTCCCACTAAAAAAAAGTCATTTTCAGCATAACATACTCATCTGGATTATTAACAATGATTAAGAGATGTGTATTTCTTCTTCTCTTCATTATTATTTTTATCATTAATAACAGTAATTAACAAAACCTGCATTGCACTTCCAGTATCCCAGGACGTTCTGCATTTGGTCCATAACCCAGCCCCCACATGTTTTGTTATTAATTGCATCAAAAGACAAAAAACTGTTTTTTCACAGTAATGCTCCTGCTTTGTTGCATTTTTTTCCAACATTGCGTGGGAGTAGCAGCAACAGAAGATACAGAGTGTTTTTTAGCTTCTTTTTTTTTTTTTAAGCCATTGTGTGGCTCACACACCCTGTTGGCAATCATACATACTCAATTAGATCACTGATGATGTCTGGTCTTAAAATCAATTTTTTAATTTGTTCTACCTTTTTTTCTAAGGAGTTGTTCCACCTTTTAGTTCTAAATAAAGCTTTTAAAGTATGAATTGATTTTTGTCCTGATGCCTCTCCTCCGCTGACTTGGATTCTGATGAGACGGTGTGATTTTTTAAAATATTTTTTTAATTGAGGCGTAATGATCCCCATTAGATGAGTAATTGTTTCTTCTCCTTACTGCCTCCCTTCTCTGCAGACCTGGATGAACTGGCTGTCGATAGCCTTCAGTGTAGCTTTATTCTTCACCGCCGCTCTGTTCTACAACGCCTCCTGTCCCACCTGCTACTCCCCCTCCAACTCCTACTGGACCATCCAGAGGCTGCTCCAGGACCCGCTCTTCTACCTGCTGTGCGCCATCACCCCCATGCTGGCGCTGCTGCCTCGGTACGCTCTGGCTTCTGTTTCGCAGACATCTGAAAGCACAAGTAGTCTGAAATATTTATGATGCGTGCCGTGAAAACTATTTCTGCTATTGACACCAGATGGTTTCGTTTATCCCGGCGTTCATCGCAGGAGCAGAGCCGAAGTGTGTCCTGACGTCTTGACTTGATTTTCTTTTCCAGATATTTCTACAGGGCGTGTCAAGGCACTCTGTTTCCAAGTGTGGCACAGGCCGGGAGGCAGCTAGATAAGCTCCCTTCCGACACTCGTAGGAACGTCCTAGGGCTGAGCAGGTTCAAGATGAGGTCACTGCTGGGTGCCGGACCCAACTTCCTGTCGCTCAGCAAGCCCAAAGTTAGCCAGACGACCACGCCCGGCTCCAGTCAGGACAAACAGAGCCCCATGAAGCAAACTCGTAAAGAGAAGGGCCAGAAAATCCAGTTGGTGCTTCCCCACTCGCACGCTCCGTCACACGCCACACACAGCCCTCGGCTCTCCGGCAAGCCAAAACCTCATTCCACCAAACACTCGGATGAGACCTTACCACCACCAGGTCCGAGTTCACCCAGCCAGACAGCTTCCCCACCGCTGGTCAAACAGATGGTCAGCATCCACCTGAACCTGCCCCCCGACGGAGCCTCGCAGTGCGTTACGTACACACAGAGCTCAGAGGGAGGACTCCGCTGCGGCCGCGTTGCCGAGCCGGCACACAGGACCGTCCCGGCGGCAGAACGGGCGCCGCACACTTCCTTATGATGTCTCACCGTACAACTCCTGGCAAAAGCTTAGGGAACCACTGGTCTGGTGGGGGGAGGCAGTCGGTCTGTTTTACTTTGTAAATGCTACAGATACACCCACAATTATTTCATTGAACTATTCTCATTAGTTGGTGTGAAAACTTCAGAAACGTGCAAGTTGTGTTTAATAGCACTTTTTTTTTTCTAGATGAAGTAGAGGGAAAAAAAAAAGGATGGAACTCCTCGATTATTGCATGAACCAAAAAAAAAAACTCACTTGGAAATAAATATATTTATCAACTAAGTTCCAGTATTATATAGAATAAGCAGATCAGCTTCATGGACACTTGAAGCATCTATAGTCTGTGATCCAGACTGTGCTTCAGTTATATTTTTATAGCGAAATTCCTATCTCAAACATTTAGTTAGTTTTTCTTTTTAACACATTGGCATTAAAATAAAAAAAAAATTATCATGCCTCTTATTCTCACACACACACACACACACACACACACACATATATTTTAGCGTGAACTGACATTATCTGTTTATCGTTGATTATTTTTATTAGTACTTTTAGGAAGAGAGTCAATGCCATGCTGCGGATTTGAGAAAAACCATCAATAAAGATTTTAATATTTTAAGACGAACTCAGAATTATAACTTAGTTGCTATATTAAACTATCTTTAGCATCTTACATGAGCATTGAGCATTGAAAAAATGACTAAAATGGCAGTCTCCTTGTGTTTTAGAGTCTAGATTCTTTAAATTTTTTGAAAACTGCCAACATTTCTAAATTTCAAGCCGTCATAAATAATTTTTCCTTCTTTCATTCTTTATTCTTCCGGACTCCAAAATGGCAAACATCCGTTTTATGACATCATTAAATAATAGCTTTGCTTCATATCTGTATTTTTTTTTTTTTTTTTGGCTCCAAACTACTGACTGACCATCCTCACAGAGCAGTACATCCATACATTTTGGCAGGAGTTGTATGTTACTCATTCTCAATTTTGCACAATATATATTTTTTATTGATTTTATTGTATTCTTTTTATACTATTATTTCTTTAAAACATATGCAGAAAGGTACTTTATTTTGTTTTTTCCATGTTCTGTCAATGTAATTTTGCTTTAAAGATTTGGGAGAGGAAAGAACTGGAAAATCTAAAAAAAATTCAGCTTCATTCCTGGGAAAGTTGTGACTTCTCAGAGACGCATCTCGTTGTTGATCAGGTTCCGTTGTGCAGCGACAGAACCAAGACGTTCCGCCGTCGGCTCAGCCTGTGGGGGCATTAAAACCTGGAACACACACGACAGTGGCCTTGAATCCTCGCTGCAATGACTTCCAAAAACAGAAGTTTTAAGAGAAATCTCCTGCTTTTAGTTTGTTTATCCCAGATAGTGGCCACACCGCTGAACCAGTTTGTCCATTTTGAAAGCAAAGCATCTTTATAGTTGGCATGTTGCACAGTAAATTACACTGAATTGTGATTTTTATTTTTATTTTTTTTTATTTTTCCTCATCTGCATGTTCAAGATATAATTTTTCTCTTGTGAGAGTTCACAACAGATCTTTCATTCCAGTCTGTGTACATAGACTTTGCCAGGTGTTCTTCTCTGTGACTGTGCGTCTATATATTTTTTTGGAGCTGAGAGGTTTTAGTTTAAAGAGTAAAAAGTCTGGAAATGTTTTCATGTTACATTGCAGGAGAATCATTTTCAGTTGTTTTTTTTTTGTTTGTTTTGTTTTTAATCCAACCTTTTTAATTTCAGGACACACATTAAGTAGAGGAATAATCATTCCTTTTCTTTTTTCTGTTTATCGAAAGACCAAATTTCATCCCATTTTCAGTGTGCTGGCATCCCATTAGAGTTTAGTAACTACAACACAAACAACTGGGTGGCATGTCGATGCTCGACGCTCTAATAAACGATGCCATCACGGCTCTAGAACCAACCACTCAACACCAGCATGAAAGGGAGGTGGATGAGACCTTCTTCAGACGGCGCTTGTGTGTTTCAGATGACTTACCGCTGATTTCAGTGAAAAGTAAAGTTTTTTGGGAGATTTTTTTAATGGAGCATTTAACATTCTCATCAAAAGCTCAGGAATTATGCAACTCCCATAGTTGTCTGTTTTAATCTGGAGTTTAGATTAAAAAGCCTATTTTTATTTATTTATTTTTTTGTTCTTACAAAAAAAAAAACTTTTTTACCTCCTTAAACGCTCCTTTTGTCCTGGATACAAAAGCGAGAGTTTATGTTGGAGTTTGTCAGTGAAAATGTCTCTACACTATAGCTGCTCCAAGCCAGTAATTTGAATGCAAGACATTGTCAAGATGTCCGAGGCGCCGTCACTGCCACAAGTAGCCATGTTGTCCAATGTCATTTGTTTTATTCTGACTTTCCAAATGTTGAGCTTTAAATCTGGTTCAATAAGTTTGTTAGATGAAGCTGAGCTATTGAAGTGTTTCATTGCCAGCAGTAACATGAAAAATTCAGAAGATATTAAAATGAGTAAGTTTTTCATTTTAACATGCAATTTATGAGCGTTTTGCTGTCATAACGAGAAATCTTACTTGAATGAGACACTTTCTACAAAATTCATTCCCTAACTTACTAGCTAGCTATAATGAGAGCTAGCTGGTAGCAAGGAAATTGTGTCTTTTAAAGCTAAATTGTGTGTTTTTTTTGTTTGTTTTTTGTTTTTTTTATTTTGTTGTTAAAAATCCATGCAACTATCTGGTTACTAATTTCAGTGTGAAGTAAACTCTGCTAAGTGAACACTTTAGCACGTTTAGCAAGCTTTGTAAGGGGTAAGAGGTTAGCTCTAAACCTGTGTTTATAGCTAATACAGATTTAGAGCATGTTGACCTGTGTAGCTCTAAACACACGTTAGCATCCAGTCTTTAGTGCTAAGCTAGCTGTTTTCTAGCTGCTAACTGGTACTCTGCAGGCAAGCAGAACGAAGTTCAAGCTAGCAATCAGTTTTCTTTGCAAAATGGATATTTTCAAGGGATAGCCAGGTCTTCAAAAACAGATTTCAACCACCAGCACGGTATTATGAGAGTTTTGAAGCTGTATTTACTTTTGTTCTGCCCAACAAAAGTTTGCATTTACTGGTTAATGCAAACCAGTAGAACCTCCAAAGAGCCACTGCACTTCACCCAAAAATTGTCTGGTATTTAACAGCTGGAAAATCACAACATTTAGTTGCTTTGTTTTGTTTTTCAACAGGTGGGCTATATTAATTATTGGGATTTTGAGCCTCTGGGAGGCAGCTTTTCTTCCCAGTCTAAGCTAAGCTAAATTGACCTTTGTGGCTCTCTACTTTATTGTTAAAGCAAGTGTGCAGATATAAAACTATTCGCTTGAAGCGCAGCACAGAGCCAATTTGTTGCTCCTTAGCATGTTCTTACTTGCTAAGGGCCTTGTGAGAACTTCTATCACATGCTGGATTTTAACTAGCCAGGTGTGTTTCGCTGTAAACCAAATCCCCAGTGCTGAACCGTCTTTACAATCGAGTCTTTCAACATTTATATTTGCACTTTAAAGCATTTCATCAGACCTGTCATTGAGAATTTCTGTTGCACACGTTTATTCACTCAATATTGCAATGCAATATGAAAAAAGAAATGGGAGGTATTACTTTGTTCAACTAAAACTATATATTTTTTAAGTCTGTAGAAACTAATGGAAAACTGGCCAAACTGAACTTTTTACTGGGAAACTGTGTCCAATGCATTTTTTAAAAGCAAACCTAATACCAAAAGTGATTTATATCTATCTTGTATTTCTTAGTAATAGTAAGTGCCTTGACACTGGATAAGAAATTGCTGGATATGTTTGAGTAAATATGATTGAGCTTTTTATTTTGGGGGGGTTTTGTACAGATATTTATGAGGATGTGTGGCATCTTTGCCCCCGACTCCCCCCGTCCCTCTTGTTTTCATTGCCTTTGCACACAAATTCCTTCTCTGGCATGTTGTTTAGTTTGAGACTCGTTGGTCTGTTTGCTGTGTTTCATCTGTTCAGTTCATCCTGTACCCTCCGTGTGCCTGAAAGAAGCTCCATCATGTTCTGCTGCATTCCATCGTGCTGATTTCCTCTTAATACAACATTGAGCTTTTGCGCAACAGATATCCATGAGTACATGTGGTAATTTGGGTGGGGGGGGAAATCATTGACTTTATGTCCTTTGTATTAACACCAAGTTCTGGTAAGTAAAACGTTGGTGAGGAATCCTGAATCGCTTCAGCTCAGTAAAGAATGTGGAAAACTGCACAAGGTTCAGTTCCACAGTTTTGTCAAGCTCATGTTGTTTTTAGTTGTTCCAAATGTTCTGTATATGGCTGCTTGTGATCAAAATAAAACTGCAAGAATAAAGTATAATTTTTATGAAATCACTTTTTATTAGTGTAAATCTCTTTCTATAGCAAAATGTAACCCTTTCACCAGGCTGCACACTTATTTTAGTGTGTTTCTGTGATGATAAACCTGTCAAAATACATACCGAAGTCATTTCTTGTCAAAAGTGGGTTTGGAAAAATAAAAAGATTTACTTTTGGCAAAAAAAAAAGCAACTTAGGCCATTATTTTAGGAAGGTAATGATATTTAAGAACACAGTTTTGGATTATGGATTAAACATGTATAACAGTGGAAAGTAATTGATGCTAAATTATACAATAATATAAAAAAATCCTGTCTTAGTGCAGGTGCTTCACAACAACAAATTCAATCATTTTCTTTTCTCATTGAATGATCAATTCTACTTTTAACAAGCCTGAGAATCACCCTGTGTCTGCACCGAAATCTAAAAGACGAGTCTATCGTCCAGTGAAAAACCATTCAACTTTTAATGTATTTTATTAATGGGGCAGTATCATGTATATTCTGTTTTATAACGCAATCAAATAACTATGTTACCTTCAGTTGTTACAAAAATGCTACATGGATGTCAAATATGACTTTATGACTTTTCCTTGAAACTGGGCCTCTGTCTCTTTAAAAATTCCTGCTCGACCTGAATCTATACCTTCAGGAAGTCATCACTGCATCTCCCCTTTAACCCTTTAATGGTTTTTATTTTTCACTAAGAAGCTTGTTTAATGAGCTCAGGAGATTTTTTTTTTCCAACAAAACAAGGACAAAACAGCCAAACTAGAGCTTTCGGGACTTATTCAGCTGCTTTCAAGACAATTTGAGGTTACATTTAGGTATTTAGAGGCTTAAAGGTCTATCGAGTTTTTGAATTCAGAAAAAAGGGCTTTAGTGGCAAAGGGTTATGTAGCGGCATAGACCAGTAGTTTATCAGCTGAAGAGGAGCTTTAGACGAGTGTAAGTGTTGAATTTGTCTTTTTTTCTCCTGTACAACCAACAGAGGCTTAAAACGGACTCGGAGTGGGAAAGAGAAACAGTCACAGTGCTCTCTGTATTTCTGCTTGCTGTTTTTCCCTTTGCTGTTTTTCTGCTGCATCGTTATGTTAATGAGGAGAGCATTAACATGTATGTCTACTATTGGCCAATAGAGCTTTGGAACCAACGCCACTGCGTCAGACGTCATGGGGCGTTTAGGTGCAGTCGCTCGGTGCCATCTTTGCAGGCCACAGACCAAAGCAAACTTTGTCTTGGTGGTTTTATTGTGTTACCGACTGCAGTGAAGTGTACCTCCGAGTCCTTGAGGAGGGAGCTGGAGAACGGCTGGCCGAAATTAGTGTTCATAAATCGGACCAACCTTGAGCTGAACGCCGCTTGTTCGGCGGATATTGAAATATCCAATATCCAACTCGAAACTAACTTCTTATTTTTAAAGATTATATCTTTAAAAATAAGAATAAACAGGCAAACCCAGTACCCAATGGGATCGATTCCAGCATTGCAAATACAGACATTTCACAAACATTTCATTGAACAGTCCTTTAGAACCTCATAGAACTCACAGTATTTTCTGCAGACGTAAATGTTACAAAAGCCATAAAGTCAGTAATTGGTTCAACAAAACAGCACATTTCTGTGTATTACTTAGAACAGCTGTACATGGACATTTGTGTGAATTTTTTTCCCACCTCGACACTGACTAATGAAAATATTTCACTATTACATTGGGCTGAGTTAGGCGTTTGCTAATTTGCTGCTGGCTAGTTTAAAGGAGCTGAGAGGGGATTTTTTTTGGGGGGGGCGGGGGGCGACTGTGATCTGTGTGGGAGAAGCTTGGAAGCTGCAGCTCAGAGGAGGAGCTGCACCTCGAAGGTGTTGCTGGGTTCATACGGACATTTTTTCACAACTGAATGGTTGCCATGGAGATCAAAGCAACACTCCAGGTGTGTTTTTTTATGATAGAATAACATTATTACATGATGTAATGCTCAAAAAAGTAAATTTCATAAATCACAATGAATGAAATGAATGAATGAATGAATGAACGAATGAATGATTGGGAGCTGTAGTGTTCCCATTCTTTAATGGCGACTGGCAGTCCCTACAGAAGAACAGGTTCCACGAATTGGAAAATTTTGAGGAGAATTTATTATTACAGCTTTCTTCTTGCCTCGATCAGGTTATCCTGAATAATCATTCCATTAAAACTGAAACTACTGATGTGGCACCAGAAATATTGAGCCATTCAAAGTGACAACATACTTTTGTGTGTAACATTAACATTCCTTTCCAAATTTATCTTTCCACATAATTAAACCAAATTAGCACAAATTAATTTCCTTTGCTGTGTTTTTGTAAACTGAACGAGAGACTGTATTTTACAGAAGAAGCACATTTCACAGAAACATGTATCTATTGTTTGCAGCTGTCTGGTTTCTAACGAGACCAGAGCTGGAATTATTGTCAACTTTCTTCCACTGCTGATCTCCATCTCCTTCACAGGCCGATTGCAAACTAAATAAATATTTTTTTTCCTCATCTTTTTCTATTTTTTCATACACTTTTTTGTGTTCACCCCTAAGCCTGTAGGACATAAAACTCCCAGCAGGGTTGCATCTACCCTCTTCCACCCCTAGATCCTGTGCACCATTGCAGGATAACCAAACACGTGCAGTAAAAGTGATTTTATTCGTTGTCACGTTATGAGAAAACATATGAGATTGATAATGATAATTAAAGAGGCTCCGCTGCTGAACGGAGGCATTCCTCACGCTCTCCTGTCATTGTCTCTAATTACTTTTCAGGCGATCTGCTGTGGTTGCCAACCACCTTAATCTGAATTTTATCAGAGGAAGGGAGTCACCAAGTCAGGCCATTTAAAGATGCATCGTTTTATCATCAAGCTCATATCAGAAGATTGTTTTAAATAAGACTTGGAGGGGTTTGCCACAACAGTGGCTGTGTCCAAATGATCAATGTTTTTTTGTTTTGTTTTTTTTTTTGTTTTTTTTTTTTTTTTCAGAGCAAGGACCATCTGTGTTGCTGTTGGTGGAGAGAGCCTCCATTCTGCTCCTTACACAAAGCGTCGCTGTGCTTTTTGCAGCCATATCTTCCCACTGGTGCAGGAAGCCCGGCCAGCAGAAACAGCAGGGGGGACGAGCTTTCAGCTGATACCACAAAGAGACACTAACACCCACTAATGATCCGGGCTCAACCTGTCAGCTGGGAGAGGAGACATGATGGGCAACTCCACCTCACACCTCGCTCAGATGTTAGTTTTACTTTAAATCTGGATCAAATTTAGATCGTGCGGATCCGGGCCTGACGCAGAGGCCTGTCAGTGCCTGTTGTATTTCATTACCTCTCTGTTTAAACTGCTACTCCGTGCTGAAGCAGAAACGAT